GTCTCCGACATGAACTTGCTTGTGAAGATGTGACTAATTTCGCTCGCCCTGGGAACTAGGGGTGAACATCACACCCAACCTGCCCCTTGGCAAAGTGCCTGTGAGGGATTTGGGGCTCCTCTGAGGTGAGGTGCCATATGTTAGAGCAGTAGCACGATGCTTAAAGGTGACAAAAACCCACTGCAATTGCAACATTTCTGGAGTGTTATAAAATTTTAAGTTGCGCACACATAGCAGATGCGCACGCCACAGAAAACCAATCCTTCACCCTGCAAAATTTAGGAAATATTGCCTGAGAAAATTATACCTTATTTTAGCGCACAGGTAAAGGTAAAGGGTCAGGGACCCCTGACCCTTTACGGACGACTCTGGGGTTGCGGCGCTCATCTCACTTTACTGGCTGAGGGAGCCGGCGTACAGCTTTCGGGTCATATGGCCAGCATGACTAAGCCGCTTCTGGCGAACCAGAGCAGCGCACGGAAACGCCGTTTACCTTTCCACCAGAGCGGTACCTATTTATCTACTTGCACTTTGACGTGCTTTCCAACTGCTAGGTGGGCAGGAGCAGGGACAGAGCAATGGGAGCTCACCCTGCACACAGAACAATCCCCAAAAGCCATCTGCAGAAGGGAAATATACTGGAGAAAGCTTTCACTTACAAATCCTTCAAATCCTGTCTTAAGGGCATATTTGGTGTATGAATAGGATGGGCCTGTGACCTGGATTCAAGAACTAAAGTATTTACCACCTCAAAAGAATGGCCAGGCTGCCCAGGTAATGCAACCATTAAAACATTATCAGGTATCTTGGCAGAGAGGAGAGAGGCCATAGAGACCACCGCTTTCTGTGATGTATGTATGATGCTTTTAGGGTAAAGGTAAAGGGACCCCGACCGTTAGGTCCAGTCGTGGACTCTTGGGTTGTGGTGCTCACCTTCCCGCCGAAGCAGTACCCATTTATCTACTGACACTTTGATGTGCTTTTGTACTACTAGGTTGGCAGGAGCAGGGACCGAGCAACGGGAGCTCACCCCGTCGCGGGGATTCGAACCGCTGACCTTCCGATCAGCAAGCCTTAGACTCTGTGGTTTAGACCACCTGCGTGCTTTTAGGGTAGTCTTTGCTTAAAGGGTTGGCCAATGTCAAAAGTCTTCAAAGGTTCCTGCAAACTTTGTTCTTGGTCTCTCTTACCTCCTTGCAAGGTGGGGGTGGGTGGGACTCTATTGCAACAAAAAACGAAAGATCTCCTTGCTTTCACGGGATCTTGCCTCCATCCATTCTTCTCTGATAGATCATGGACTTAGGGGATGCAGAGTCGCTTGGGGAGTTGGGCAGTAGAAGGCAACCCCCAATTCTTCTACAGCAAGAGGATAGGGTCAAAACCACCCCTGCTTCTCTCTTCCTCCTTCTTGCACTCAAAAGTTAGATTCCTGTATGCTCTGTGAAGGCAGGGACCTGCCGTTTTATTCCCGCTTCTGAGATATGTTAAGCACCACGTTCCAATGGTGATGGAAATTTACTACAGCCCAGAGTTGCTGCTCTGTTAACCGAGTCAAAATGGACATGTTTTTCCCCTGCAAAGTCAGCGCAGTGTAAATTAATGTCAAAAGTCTGAGTCACAGCAAGTCGTCAGAATTATTTTGCTTTATTTTCCTTTCAAGGAACCCTGACGTGCTTTCATGTACAGAGTACCATTTGAGAAAAGAAACAGGAACCCTTCCGCCTGTCTCTCCCCCGACCCAAACTGCTCCAGCGCACGGTACAGGCAAACCATTCCTAGACAGCCCAGACTGGGATGGGAGCTGAAACAACCATAAACTGCTCAAGTGCATTTGGGTGGGGAGCATAAATAAAGCTTTGCTTTTGAAAAGGGCAAGTAGGACCTGCAATAAAATGTTGCAGCACAGGGCTCCTGTTCACTGCTCCAGCCAGCCATGGCCTCTCCCCTGATGTTCAGCTGTACGATGCTCCATTCAATTCCCTCTCAACAGTCAGGAGACACCCACACTGTGCATCGAAAGCAGTGTCACGCCACTTTCAAGCAGCCAGGGTTTCTCCCAAAGAACCCCGGGAACTCTTGTTTGCTAAGGGCGCTGAGACTTGTTCGGAGGCCCTGGCCCTTTTGCAGAGCTACAGTTCCCAAGCTTCCTGGTAACTGGAGTTGCTTAAAGTGGTGCAATCCTGCTTTCAATGCATAGTGTGCCTATCACCACTTTTAGCTATTTCTTCAAAATGCCTGCCCCCCCCCCTTCTGCAAAGTTCCTCCCTGGAGACTGCAAGGACCTTCCACATGAATGTGGATGGTGCTGCTTTGGCTACAAGGGACACTCATTATATAATACCACTAAGAGAGGAAATGACGCCCTCCTTGGTTAAATAGGAAAAGTAATCCATTCAAAATGCCTTTCAAACCTCATCTGACGCGCAAGGCCCTCCCAGCCAAACAAGGAACTTCTTGGAAATACGAGGAGCACGCAGTTCGGCAGAATTTATTACACATTCGTTTGGGGGAGAAAAAGAATTAAGCCACGCTATGCCTTTCAAAAGATCTTTTCGCAGAAGAGTTATCAGATTGCAAATGTCTGGTTTGTGGATTACACAGTGCAGACACAAACCGTCAAACCAGACCTCCTCAGTGTGCATAACTAAATATGCCCATTGGGGGGTGGCAAATGGGTGCAGAATGTGGCCCAGCCCCCTTGAAGCCTCTGCACCCTTACATCACTTGACTCTCCCCACATTGCACCGTACCTTTTTGGATAGCGAGGTCAGCCCACAAGGGATCCTGCAACACATTTTGACCCTCTGCCCCACTGGCTGCCCAACAGAACCCCCAAATACTGGCATGCATTGGGGCGAGGAAATTCTTGCAACATGCAGAACGTTATATCTGCCGCCCTCGGAACTTCCCCAGTCTGACATCCCACTTGAAGCTTAGCGCAGAACCAGGAAGCTGCCCCCAGGAAAAGTGGGGCGGGTGGGAAGAAGGAACTCCAGTTGCCTAGGAAGGTTTATTTCACCCCTTGGAGACACCTCCCTCTCGCCCCAGGAAAGATTCCTCCCAATGCACTGGGCTTTGTCACCCTCTTTCACACATGCACCTGCCTTTGGACGCCCAGCATCAAAACAGTGCAGAACAGGATGTTCACTTGAAGATCCTACTTTTGATCAAATGTCCGGGGAACGAGCCAGAGATGGAGGCAACCCTCAGCAGCTGCCTAGGAGAGCAATTCAGCAGCTGCCACAGGGCAGGGGGCAAAATGCAGGGCTCGAGAGACCCCTCTCTCTCGCCCATCCACAGTATACCCAACTGGCCTAGCCGCAAGAGGCGCTGCCCACAGCTTTCTCTATCCTGGGGCCTTGCAAATCCCGGGGCTGATGGGATTTGTGGTCCAAAACATCAGGAGAGTCCCTGGGGCAAAGGGAGGCTGAGCGATTCCAATGCCAGTGCCATTTCCCGCGGACTTCCTACGTCTGAAAGTCGCCCCAACTGCACTGGAAACGGACGGACGGTGCCATCACTCTCCCCTGGGAATTTTGGCTTCATGGGGTGACGCCAGGCTGCACAAGGAAGGCTTGGAGGCCAAGGGGTGATTGCCCATCTCGCCCCAGGAGGGTCCAGCCCGGCCCGTTTTCCATCACGGTGCTCCCAATATCCTGTCACCCAAAGGTGGCCAGTGGTGTGGGCAGCAGCCGAGCGGCAGGACAGACACGCTCTCTCACTGGCTCAGGGTTGTTTGCCACTTCCCTGCTGAGCAGCACCCTATTGCACGCACAGGCCCACACTTTCTGTGGGGCTGCTTGGGCGAGGAGTGGGAGTTCGGAAAGGGTTTCCTTCCGCCAAGAGCTCCCTCTTCTCTGTAGTTCGTCATCAACGTGCTTTCGGGAGAAACACCCGCATGTGTTCCCGCAGTTATGTCCAAAGGTGGAAAGAACAGAGGTCACAGACAGAAATCGTCCCGCGGGATCCAAGGCGGCTGGCTTGTCCTTTTCGGGGAGCAGGGAAGAGTCGGCATGGCAGGCCCCGATTCGCAGCTCCTGTTTGTCGAGAGCTGGCGGGCCTTGCCTCTTCTTAACAGAGACCAGCGAGACACGCTCTCGTAGAAAAGGAACTCGCTGTACAAAAAAAGGCCCGGCTATCAACAGGGATGTTGTAAGAGAAAAATAGTGCAAAAATACAGAGAGAGGAAGAGAAAGAGAGAGGAGGAGATTTTTCTGAACCAGCCCAGGTTTATAAACCTAAGGCAAGCCAGGGGGTGGTTACTACTTTCAGCAAGGCAAGATATGTGAAGAAAGTTGGGAAAAGGCTGCTCCGAGCTGGAACTCTCAAAGAGGGTCCTCTCCCTCCAACAAAATGCACATTATTGCTGCTACGCCTCCCCCCCCCAGGCCGTTCCTGGGCAGCTGGTCTCACCTTGCCAGCCCCTCTCCTGTATCAGGATGGCGATGGGGTGGCAGGCAGAGACATCACCCTCCCAAGCCTCATTTGGGCAGCCCAGCTGCATCCCACAGCCAAGTCTTGCTTCTCAGAACTGCTGTGCTGGCTAGGAGGGTAGCCCAGTGCAAATCCTGCTCCCCCACAAGGGATGGGGCAGGGCTGGCCAGCAAGGGCAGAAAGTCTGGGGGGCTGACAGTGCTGCTGCTGCACAGATCCTCTCTGCTTATTTCTTTTGCTCTACGGCAACCATAATAACTAAGGACGAGCGAGTTGGGACGGCAGGGGAGGGCCCCCTCCCCAAAGGTTCTGTTTCCTTTCGCATCAGCAATAAAAAGGTTTTAAATATGCTCATTAAAATAATTCTTTTCTTTTTTTTTCTTTAAAAAAAGATTCCTCTCCCTCCCAACCCAAGCGGCGGCGACACCCCCTTTTGTTCAAAGTCCTTCCCACCCCCCCAAATTCCAGCTGTCACAGCAGCTGCTGAGCAAGAGGCCGCGATCCTGATTGGTCAGTGATTCAAAGCGCATCTCCTCCTTTGGGTGTCCTCAGCGCCGCCCTCCGCCACACGCAGCTCGGTGGCCGCAGCTCCCAGGCGCGACCTGGACGGAGGTGGGAGGAGGGAGCCGGCCGGGGGGGGGGAGAGCGGGGTTACTCCAAGCCCAGGATGTAGTTGATCCCTTGGACCAGTCCGATGATGACCGGCTGCCAGGCCACCAGGTAGCGGAGCCAGTCGAGGAGCTGCCCGTACATGACGTGCGGCCGTTCCCAGCTGGGGTGGAAAGAGTTAAAAGGAAACTCGAGGTGCAAAAACCAGGGGGCCCCAAAGCGGGTGGGGTACCTGCTCCTCCCGCTTAGAATTGCCCAAATTAACGAGTAATGAGTTTCAGACCTCTGTGGGTCCAAGGCTGTGGCAGCTGCAGGGAGAAGGTTCTTCCAGAGGAACATACCGTATTTTTCGCTCCATAAGACACACTTTTTCCCTCCTAAAAAGTAAGGGGAAATGTGTGTGCGTCTTATGGAGCGAATGTAGGCGGGAGGCAGGCAGGAAAAGCCCCCAAGAGCCGCACACACGCTCTGTGCGGCTCTTGCGGGCTTTTCCCCAAAGAGGGAGAAGGGCAAACCATCACTGACGGGCTGTCCTTCTCCCACCTCGTAGAGCAGGTGGGAGGTGGGGGAAGGGACAGAGGGCAGCCCCACCTCCCCGGAAAAGCCCCCAAGAGCTGCACTCCCTTTCACGAGCCGCTTGGGGGCTCCCCCCCCCCGAGGAAAGCCTGCAAGCACCGCACACATGCTCCATGCGGCTCGTGAAAGGGAGCGCTGAGCAGAGCCTGGGGTGCATACAGGCTCTGCTCAGCGCTCCCTTTAAAAAAAATTTTTTTCTTGCATTCCCCCTCCAAAAACTAGGTGCGTCTTATGGAGCGAAAAACACGGCAGTTAAAACTGTGGAACTCTCTGCCCCAGGAAAGTGGTGGCAGCCAACTTAGAAGATTGGACAAATTCATGGAGGGCTGTTGATGGCTGCTACCTCTGCCTCCGTGCTTCTGAACACCAGTTGCTGGAAACCACAGGAGAGGAGAGGGCTCTTGTGGCCGGTTCCTGCATGCTGGTTTCCCACAGGCTGGCCACTGGGAGAAGAGCATGCTGGACAATATCAGCCATTGGCCTGATCCAGCAGGCTCTTCTGACGTTAAGCCCAGGGCTAATCCCTTCCTCTCCTCCATGAATCTGCCCAGTCCTCCTTTAAAGCCATCTAGCCTCTTATGCGAGGGAGTTCCATAGGTTAACTGTGTGTCCTTTCTTTTTATCTCCGCTGGATGCCCGCGAGATCCAGGGTGATGACAGAGGAAAGGAAACTTTTCTCTGCCTCTCCCTTTGCCAGACCATGTATCATTTCATGCACTACAGTGGCACCTTGGTTCTCAAACACCTCGGTACTCAAACAACTTGGAACCCAAACACTGCAAACCTTGGAAGTAAGTGTTCCAGTTTGCGAACTTTATTTGGAAGCCAAACGTGCTCCGTTTTGAGTGTTACGCTGAGGTAATAATAATAATAATAATAATAATAATAATAATAATAATAATTTATTATTTATACCCTGCCCATCTGGCTGGATTTCCCCAGCCACTCTGGGCGGCTTCCAACCGAATCTTAAAAACAATACAGCATCAGACATTAAAAACTTCCCTAAACAGGGCCGCCTTCACTTGTCTTTTAAAAGTAAAATAGCTTTTATTGCCTTGACATCTGCTGGGAGGGCGTTCTGCAGGGCGGGCGCCACCACCAGGAAGGCCCTCTGCCTGGTTCCCAGTAACTTGGCTTCTCGCAGCGAGGAAACCGCCAGAAGGCCCTCGGAGCTGGACCTCAGTGTCCAGGTTGAACTATGGGGGTGGAGACGCTCCTTCAGGTATATAGGACCGAGACCGAGGTCTGTCTGTTTTCGCTATTTATTTTGCGTTTTTGTTTTTGCGTCTTCTTTGTCTTGTTTTTGTGACTGTGTGGAACCCAGTTCAGCTACTGATTGACTGATTGTGTGACTGCAGCACATTGATTATTGCTTTCATTTAATGGATCAATGGTCTCGTTAGATAGTCAAATTCATGTTAAGTTGCTGCTTTAGGGGTTGTTTTTAAAAGCCTGGAACAGATTAATCCATTTTGCATTACTTTCTATGGGGAAGCGCGCCTTGGTTTTGGAACGGACTTCTGGAAGGGATTACGTTTGAGAGCCAAGGTACCACTGTACTGCCATGGCTGCAACCTCTGAGGGACTGGGCAGAAGAAGCTGCTCCTCTCCAGCCTGCGCCCAGCCATAGGCTGCTGCCTTTCAGTCCAAGGAGCTGCTTGCTGTGCCTGTTCTGGCTGCAGACGCTTCCGAGCTTCCCCAGCCACCTTCCTCCCCTCTCCTGCAGACCCCCTTCCCTGAAGGATACGGGTTGCTGAACATCCTCTTCAGGTCCACCTTCTCTTTGCAGTAGGGGCAGGTCTGCTTCTTCCCAACGATGCACCAGCCGCGGATGCAGAACTCGTGGAAGCTGGGAGGGGCAGCGAGTTAAGGGCAGCGGGGGGAGGAGAGAGAAAAACCAGGCACATCCACACACGCACGGACTCTGGGAGGCAGCAGAGAGATCTGGCCGAGGCAGCCAAGCGCAGAAAAGGCAACGGCATGTTGGTCTGCTGCTGGCTGCCTACAGGGGTGGGGTGGGGTTCACGTTTCACCCTGTGAAATGGGGGAGAGGAGGGATAGAGAGCCCCCCCCCAATGTCCATCAGAAGCACCTGCTGCCTCCGACTTGCCCTGGCTGCAGCTGGACTTCTTGTTCACTGAGATTCCTGCACTGCAGGGGGTTAGACTAGAAGACTTTCTGGGCCCCTTCCAAGTCCAATTCTACGGTTCCAAAGAACCTGGCGCAGCTCCTGTGGTTAGGCAGAGGGCTCCAATTGGAGAACAGCCTTTACTGAAGGCGCCATAGGCTTTGAAGACACTCGAACTCAGGACGCAAGGGAGAAGCGTGCTAAGAGGAAGGCACGCTTGGCAAATCCACACCGTGATCAACTCCCGCCCGGAAACCTATGTCCCCACTGTGGAAGGACGTGTGGGTCCAGAATTGGCCTCCACAGTCACTTACGGACTCATTGATAAAACCGTGTTCATGTAAGACAATCTTACTCGGCTACGAGGGATCGCCAGAGAAGAAGAAGAATGGTTCCATGTATATAATATGTGACCATACTTGTGATGCTGTCTTTGTGATTCATTGCCTGTACGCGGATACATTCAAATGGAAAGTGGAATAGCGAAGCAATAAATCAAATTGAATCCAAGCCCAAGGCAGCCATTGGCTAGTTGGGAGCCCTCCTGCCTTTGAAACAGAAGCCTGCGAAAGTCATGTGGGGAAACGTACGCATGTACATAGATTCCGGCCATGACCGGACACCGAACTGTCATAGTAACAGGGCAGAAAAACACGAGGATCCCCCAGCGTTTGTGACGGACGCTTGCCAGTTCCACGCCTCTGCCTTCATGTGTCACTCCTGGTTCCTCTTTCTCCAACCACTAGGGAGCTGCAAGGGCTCTGCTGCGTCACTAACCAGGACTCCCATCACAAAGCTCAAAGGCTGCACTCAGGATCCCTAGAATCACAGAAATGTGGAGTCGAATGGGAACCCCAAAGGTCCTCTAGCCCACCCCCTGGAACGCAGGACTCTTTCACGCAATGTGGAGCTCGAACCCACAAGCCTGGGATTAAGAGTCTCGTGCTCTAACAACTGTGCTGCCTGGGGCTGCTGGGAGTTGTAGTCTGAAAGAGCCAGAGGGAGCCTTGCTGGGAAAGGCTGCTAAGCAGCAAAGGATTTTCTTCCTCACTCTTTGCTCACTTTCCGCTCAAGCTTCCCTACGAAAGAGTGCAGAGGTACGAAATGTTTCTGGCTGAAACCAGCGGCCACAAGTCGTGACATTTCAGCACATGCCGCAAGGAGTCTCGCTCCCCCGGCGCACATGGAGGAAGCCACAAACCACCTCCCAGCCGCAGTGAGGCAGCGTCACAGAAACTGGGCTGGGGAAGCAGTCGTGAATTTAGTCAGGGCCTCAACGCTTCCCCTGGCTGCGGTGTGGGCGAACACACATGGCGATGACGGCACCCCTGCAAAGTCACGGCTTCCGGGAGAAGGGAAGCCGGGCTTGGCCCTCTGAAGAATGAGGACGTCAGCACTTAGAATTGTAGAACTGTATAGAGTTGGAAAGGGACCCCCAAGGCTCATCCAGTCCAACCCCCCCCCCCCCCCCCGCAATGCAGGAATCTCAACTAGACCATCCCTGAGAGGTGGCCAGCCAACCTCTGCATAGAAACCTCCAATGACAGACAGCCCACTGTAATCAGAGGCCGTGGAATCACAGAATTGTCGGGTTGGAAGGAGCCCCCAATAACCACCTGGTCCACACACACACACACACACCCCGCGATGCCGGAATTACAGAGAGCACCCCCGCCAAAGGATACACGTGATTGCAGGACAGCCTGTACGTGTTCTCGATGATCCCTTCTTCGTTGACGTCCACAAAGATCTGCTGGCCACAGACGGCACAGACGCTGTCCGAGAGGTGCTTGGTGGGCATCCCTGACGCACTGTAGAACTGCTCCGGAGGTGCCGAGAGGCCGAGAGGAAGACACAGAGGACCCAGGTGAGTGGAGGCATCTCAACTCAGGCTCCCTCCTGGGGGGAATACCAGCAAACTAGCCCCAGAGACCACCTTGGCTGCGAGTCCTTCAAGACCTGCTTCTCAGGATCTGCAGACTCGCTTTAGGGGGTTGAGTTTGGGTCATGATTTAATTGTGGATATGTCAGTTCCGCTGTTACTGTTATTAATTTCCTGTTTCTTTAATTTTAGATCTTTCCTGGGGATTGCTTAATTGTGTTCCATGTGCCTTCAAATGTCTTTATTTGCTGCTTACGACTACTTTTGTTACGCTTTCGTTATTACGTGAACTTCTCGTCTTGCAAGCTGCCTTGAGCAGGGCTACAACTGTGGAAAAGCGGCTCAGGAATGAACTACGGTGATTATGAAGGCTGCGGCGAGAGCGCAGAGTAACCGCAGCCAGGTGGCAACCCCACATGGGAGAACCCCCCCATCCAAGAAGCAAGACCTCGTCCAGGGAGCTGAGGCTGGCTGCAAAAGGGTCAGGGGCTGATACTCTGTCACCCTTTGATTGCTGTGTTTATTATTTTAGCATAGTGTTACCTTGATTGTCAAATGGCTTGGTTCCCGAGCAAATCAGCTCCCGAATGGCGCAAACCTGGAAGTAAGTGTTCCAGTTTTTGAAAGATTTTCGGAAGCCGAACGTCCAGTGCGACTTCCGCTTGAGTGCAGGAAGCTCCTGCAGCCAATCGGAAGCAGCGCCTTGGTTTTTGAACAGTTCTGGGAGTTGAATGGACTCCCGGAACAGATTAAGTTTGACAACCAAGGTACCACTGCGTTGTTAACGTTGTTCACTACTATTTATACAGCTGGTATGTTTCCTCCCCCCAAAATTTGCTATATGAAACATTCATGTATTATATGATTCCCTCTCCACCCACCATGACATATTCTGTATTGTGTATCTTTCTTAATGGAGACTTTTGGGTCACAAGTGACTAAGAAGTGTAATAAATGAAATGAGAGAGGTTGACATGAGCCTTCCTCCAGCCTGGCTTCCTCACTCTAGACCAGGGGTCCTCACACTTTTTAAACAGGGGGCCAGTTCACTGTCCTTCAGACACTGTTGGGGGCCAGACTATAGTTTGAAAAAAATATGAACGAATTCCTATGCACACTGCACATATAATAAATTATTATTACTACGTATTGTTAAGGAGGTTAAAACTTGGTACTCGGTGTAGGCGCTGTGAGTCACTTTTATACTTCATTTCTTCTGGGTTATTTTTGATGTTGTTGTTCCTCATGCATATGACTTTCTCTGCATTGAAGTTTATTTTCAAACTTGGGGAAGTGTGGGTGGAGAGCTCTATTTGAAAGGTTAACCCACCACTATTTACATGGAGATTCCCTTGTACAATAAACTGTTGTGATTCAGGCTTCTCTTCTTGCTAATTCTATTTGCATATGTTGCCTGTGTTTTTGGTGCTTCCCTAACTTTCAAGGTTGCCAAGGTTGCCGCACAGGGCCCGCGAGCGCGATAAGGAGGCAACCGGCCGGCGAGGCACTGCTCCGGTGGGCACGGAGCCGGCCTGAGGGGAAGGGAGGAGGGGAAGGGCTGGCGTGGAAGGGGTTCCTTTGCCACCGTCCCATCCTCCGCTGACTTAAAGGGGCAGCACGCCGTTACCAAGCAGCTGGTGGTGGCGGTAGCTACCGCATTACCAAGGCTTTGTTACACACGCACGCTTTTACCTCAGGACTCTTCCCGCCCAGCCACTTCCGAGCCTCGGGCCTTGCCTGCAGGGGAGTGTGTGTCAGGAGTGATCTGCCAGGTGGGCAGGGTTCAGGACACTGGCAGGCCAGATCTGGCCCGCAGCCCGTAGTTTGAGGACCCCTGCTCCAGATGGTTCGGGGCTACAAATCTGATCACCCTTGAATGTGTCGAGCGTGGCTGTCATGCACACATCTCTGAATGCCTCCCTCTGGAAACCGAAGGCATAGTTTGCCCCGTGTGGCTGCACTTTGCATCCTGAGGCTATTATGAAGAGTGCTGCTCAAAGAAGCTCTCTGGCACCGACTGGTGGCCGAAGTTTATCACAGAGGCAGAGAGAGGAACCCCTCTGTCACTGCGATCACAGTATGACCTGCCAGCTCATCCTCCTGGTACTGTGATCAGCGGTGGCATTAAAAGCCTCCTTGCCCAGGGAAAGGCCCCCCCCCCCCGTGTAAAAAACTAGTCCAATACCTGGCGCTTGGTTTAGCTGAAAACCCCAAGTGAAAGGCGGCTTTGACACTCAGAATTCAGCGGCCACGCAAGCTCAGGGCAGAGCAGCCCTCAGCTGCTCACAGAGCAGGATGCTGCCCAGGAAGAGTAGCCCCAAGGCAGCTGGGGCAGGAACACGGCCAGGCACCATCATCACGCCTCTTAGCTCCCTCTTCCGTTCTCGTTCTGTACCTTGCAAAATCCCATCTTTCCCACTGAACTGAAACTTGATTGAGCAAAATCTCTGGTTCAGCGGGTGAGACTGGATTTTTGCAGAATGACCAGAAAAGCTCTCGAACCCGGAGGGGTGGGGAATTAATCGGGACACAATACGACCAAAATACAGGCCAAGTGAAAGTGTGGGTGAGTCCTTGGTGACCGACAAGATCAGATTATAAGCAACTCCCCACCCCCCCACCCCCTTTGTTTGTAACTTTCGGACTGAAGCACATCAATCAATTTCTAAAATTACTTGGGACCCTATCAAGGGAGCTCCACAACTATCTCTGCAGCCCATTTTTAAGGATCTGAATGTGGACATTTGGCCAAAGGACTGACTTGTGCTGTTGGATGCTGCCAGATTATTCATTGCTTGAAAGTGGAAAAGTATTAGAAAACCTAAATATTTGTTTGGGGTATGCTAATGTTTGGGACTTGGCCGTATCAGAGGAGATGAATAAAGGATCTGAGGATGCAGAAACTCAAGAGGACATTTATCACAAATGCCAATGCTGACAATTTACAGTGCTCTTTTAGCTGCACCAGTGTATAAAACCTAGAATTCATCAACACTGATTATTTGTTGATTTTTCAAAGTTTTGCCTACCCCCGTGTCAGATGGGACAGCGTTACTTGGCTTCCCTAAATTTATGTTTGTTATTTTGTCTCCCAAGGTTACGTTCACCCTTTCCTTAAAAAAGCCGCTTGCCCTGCATGAATCTTACCCCTATAGTGGAGGCCATGTAGTCAGCACACATTTCGGCAAAGTCTCGCTCCAGTACTCCGTAATAGAGGCCATAGAAGAGGAGAGAAATCCCAAAGTCCATTCCATCTTCTGGCTTGATTCTATTGAAGGGAACAGCCTTTTGTAAGTCCCATACTGACAGACAGCTCAAGGCAACTGCTAGGGCCTTTGCTGAACACCCCACACAGAAGCCACGCTGCAGGTTCTCTCATGCCAGCTTAATTTCACCTCTTACGGGGGCAGAGGGAGCCTGTCTTAGGAAAACGTCTCCCTTCAGGACAAGACGCTCAGGGGCAGGCACGGTGCTTAGACTTCAAAATGAACAAACTCGCATATGTGGATCAGCCCCTTGGGAACTGTAGTTCCCCCAGATTTTCTGGGACTACAACTGCCCCCCTCCCTGGCGAGCGGGGCCAATGGATGGGGCTGCTGGGAGCCTGGGGAACTTCCTAGGTGCATGCTCAGGCAAACCAGGCCCTGCAGGTGCCTGAGGGGATTGGCTTCTCCCGGGGTCTCTGATTCTTCACTTTGCCCCGTGCTGCACTCTCTGAACGAGGCCCGATGTCTTCTGCACACCCAGCGTTTCTCAGCACTAATGCAGAATCAGGGATCTGGCACGGAACTGGTGCCCTGAACACATCAGCTAGCATTTCTTCCTTTTTACAGAGAAAGGTTGCGTCTCCCAGGAGAGTGGGATTCCTAGAAGCCAGGAAGTAAACATGGAGCAAGCCTTCCAGTATTTAAACGGGGAGGAGCTGCACGTCCCCCCCTCCTGGCTGCTGCTGCTGATTCCTATGTTCCTCTCCATTCCTCTTTGCCCATTCCTCTTTGCCACTCGTCCCCCAATGCTGGATGATTTGGGTCTCTTTCTGGCACAGATCATGCTCAGATCCGCTGACCACGTTCATGAGACAGACTGTGAGGGGCACCAAGGGTTTTGCCTGGGGTTTGTCTCTCTCAGCATCCAGACTCCCCAATTCAACCGTGAAGCAGAAGAAGGGGGCAGAAGGGAGAGTGTGAGATCATTGCCTTGAGACTGGGCATCTTCTGCTGCAACTGCACCACAGCTGCTTAATTTAGGGCAGGCTTGGCTGTTTATTTGAACGGTAAAAGGTGCTCTGAGGCAGCACGAGATACAAAAGGTGCACCCTGTGAAGAATGTCACTAAAGTGCAGCCTTCCAAATCACATTCCTCTCCCCGGGATCCTTGGTCCCTATTCCTGGGGCAATGCCTCTCAGATCACAGGATGATGCTGGGGAAAAGTCTCCTTTTCTGATTTCTAAGCATTTCACAGGGGTAGAGCAGAGCCAGCAGGATGCAGTGGTTGTGAGTGCTGGACATCTCTTAGCCCCGCACCCCTCGTGTCTTGCTCTGCGCAGCCAGATTTGTGCCCGTTCGACTGCCCGTCCCACTTCCCCAAACTCCCCATTCCATCTTGCAGCCTACTCTTCTGCTATGCCATGTACTAAGGCAAGGGCACGTCTATGAAGAGGACAGTTTCTGCAGCTAGTGGGAGACTTGAAAGCTATATCTCTTGCAATGCCACCAACAGAGGGGTTCTCTCACCTGAATAATAGGTTAAGCCCAAAGAGCGTGAACATCACAGCCATGTAGCCCACAATTCCCGTGGCGTAGCTGATCTTGTATATTAGCAGAAACCACTTGTACACCAACCTACGTGCAAAAGAGAGAAGCGGGAACACAGATTCAGGGCAGAGAAAAGCAAGTCCTTCATGGAGCGCAGAGTTAAACTATGGAACTCCTTCCGGCAGAAGGCAGGGATGGCCCCCAATTTGGATGGTTTTGAAAGAGGATAGGACAAATTCACAGAGGAGGAGAGGGCTATTGATGATTCCTGGCCAGGATGGCTCTGCTCTGCCTCCACGGCTGGGAGCAGCAATGCTTCTGAATTGTTGAAAACTACAGGAGGGGAGAGAGTTGCTCTAGTGCTCAAATCTTGTTTGCAGGTGTTGAGCACTGAGAGAATGGGAAGCTGGGCCATAGGCTCCTGCGCTCTTATGTAAGAGCCAAGAGGTTTCTGCTCACCTGGGAGTCGTCTGGACGAGAGGTTTGCGTGTTGCTCTGAACGTGACAAAAGCTGTGACGACCGAGAAGAAGACCCAGATCACCAGGAACCGCCACCAGTGCAGCTTCACTGTGAAGTAGAGGGGGACGACCCACATCTGGAAGAGGGTCACCATCTGCAGCAAGGGAGGAGAAGGAAAGAGTTCTGGGCCACGCAATTTAAGGAGGATGTCGACAAGCTGGAGCGAGTGCAGAGGACGGGGACCAAGATGATCCAGGGTCTGGAATCCAAGCCTTGGGAGGAACGATTGAGGGAATGGGGATGTTTAACCTAGAAAAGAGCAGACTGAGAGGAGATCTGGTCGCCATCTTCAAATATCTCCAGGATGGAAGATGCAGCAAACTATACCACTGCCAAAGACAGAATGCAAGCTGTGTTCATTCACATTTTCTAGTGTACTATTTACATTGGGGTTTTCTGCCGCTTGCCCAGTGGGATACCATGTGGGTGGGGCTTCTGCCCAGAGAGAGATGAGTCACAGCTGCAAAGCCCAGCTCCCTCTACAGAATGCAGCCTCATCCCCTTTCAGGTGGGGCTTCCATAGGTGGCACCCCTGTGAGGATGGTGGAGGGATTTTGACAACATGTACCCTGGGGAGGGGGCAGCTTACGTTATAGGAGCGGGGGTGCCTCTGCTTCCACTGCACCAGGAGGAGCTGAGCCACCACCAGGGTGGCGATCAGGATGAGGACCATCTCGGCGTGCATGGCCTCGTGGCCGCGGTGCTTGGCATGCATCCGAGCGTGTTCGACCCTGGAACGAGAGCAGAGCAAGTCAGTCTCTCGCACACTCACGGTCTTTGCAGCTCTTGCATCTCACGTAAGCACAGAGGGTGCTTGGCAGCATCACACCTGCATGGAAAACTGGACTCTGCAAGAAGACATGGAAGTGGGTGGGTGGGTGTGTCGTGGGCCGCAGGAAACATGGAGTTTGGTACAGTACGATTGCACACATTTCACTTCTTGCGGTTTCAAGCGTACGTGAAAGAGGGAGGCTTACTGAAACTGCAGAAGTTAAATCCAAGCAAGGCAGAGAGCTGAACAGGCTTTTGTTTTTTTGTTTTTTGCACTAGGTCAGGGTTCAATCAATAGATTTTATTGCATTAGCCGTGTGGCCATAGCATGATATACATAGAAATAATAACATAAAATGGGGGTGGGGAGGTAAAGGTAGATATCGTCCTGGGCGAATACTTAAAGAAAGAAAAAGTTGTCCCTAAATTATTATATGGCTGCGAAGTATGGGCTACAGCAATATCAGGTAACTTGGATCGCCCACTCCATATGTTTCTCAGATCTCTTTCCGGCGTCCCGAGATGTGTCTCAGGTGCAGCCCTACGACTTGAGTTCGCCCAGCCCTCAATTGTAAAACGAGCATGGAGTCGAGCCATTTCCTATAGCTCCCACCTATTAGCATCGGATGCTCGAATTAGAGGTCAGGGTTCTTAAAATAAAGGAAGGTTCCTGAATTGGCCCCTGTAGGAAGCGAAATGCCAAACCAATATGATCTTTGGCACCTTGAACACAAACAAGGATGGAAAGGAGCTACGAAGTGAATAAAAATTACATAGAGTAAGTAGCAGATGCATAACAATGTATTGGAAAAAAGCAATGGAAACAGGCCGGCTGGCACTATTTGTCCAGGTTGCAAAGCTGGGCGGTGTTTGGTACAGGAGGTGAGGTGGCACAGCCCAACGGTGGGCTCAAGTGCCAGGGACATCTGTAGCTAAGCTGAACTATGGCAGCCTCCCTTAGTCAAAACAAGGGAGGGGAGTAGGACCCTTTTAAAGGAACCACCATCCAAATGTATCAACTGTTTGAGGTCCAGACCTGCTGCTCTGCCAGCTACCCTCTTAACACGGGATCTGTCAAGTTTTAAATGACCACAAAATAAAGCGGCAGTGCAGCTCTCCTGCAAAGACTGTTGTTATAAAACGGAGAAGAGGGAGGAGACAGGAAATTCTTTTGAGGGGCACATGCAAACTGCGTAATTTCACGTTTCCACAAGTGCTTTGTGCACCAGCCATGAAGAAAACTGCACCAGGCAGGCAACTTGGTCTTTAAGGACCCAACAGAAGAGAAAACAGGTATCATCTGACAAGTCCATGAACCTTGCAGGCAGGCAGGCTCTTCACTCACCTCCATCTCTCCTCGGGAGCCAAATGCGATAAATCAACCTGTGGGAGACAAGAACAAGCAGCTACAGCATAAGCCCGGAAGAGAGAGCGAGAGTGAGAGAGCAGGCGGCAATCTCTAGCTTGAGCAAGAACCAAGCACAAAAACTGCTCCTGGGTTCCTCCGTGTGCCATGGGGCAGGGTTCAAGGGACGGCCCAAGGTGTGTCTGTGCGTGCCTGCATTTAACAGACCTTTGGCTACAAACCAGGGGGAGGGAGGGGCATACATACATCAAAAGGCATGTCCAGAGGAGGGGAGCTAAACCCACTCCTTCCCCAACACTCTCCTGCTTCCAGCTCTTTGGTGGAAAGAAGGCAAGCCCTCCCACCAAACACACTTTAGAGTCGGCAAGGAGGCATAACTGATTTGGCCCTGGATCTCTCTGGAATAAAAGGGACGCGGGTGGTGCTGTGGGTAAAACCTCAGCGCCAGGACTTGCCGACCGCAAGGTCGGCGGTTCGAATCCCCACGGCGGGGTGCGCTCCCGTCGTTTGGTCCCAGCGCCTGCCAACCTAACAGTTTGAAAGCACTCCCGGGTGCAAGTAGATAAATAGGGACCGCTTACCAGCGGGAAGGTAAACGGCGTTCCGTGTGCTGCGCTGGCTCGCCAGATGCAGCTTGTCACGCTGGCCACGTGACCCGGAAGTGTCTGCGGACAGCGCTGGCTCCCGGCCTCTAGAGTGAGATGAGCGCACAACCCTAGAGTCTGGCAAGACTGGCCCGTACGGGCAGGGGTACCTTTACCTTTTACTCTCTGGAATGCAAAGCAAAGTTTGATAGAGGCTTGAGGTGCTCCACGAGCACCAAGTGGTTTTCTTTCAAAATACTTTTCTTAAATTAAAAGTGTGAACTTAGACCCTGTAATAAAAACATGACATTCTCTCATTTCGCATGCCAGTTACTACTGCACCCTGCACCGAGCCATCCCATGAGCAGCCTTGCCCAACCTGGCACCCTCCAGAGGGGTTGGGCTACAGCTCCCATCAGCTCACACTGGAACAGGCACAAGGGGGTCTAATGGGGGCTGGACTCCAACAGGTTTGCAAGGTATGACATTGGTTATCCCTGCCATACATAAAATGAACCACATCTAACTGAAATGGAGATTTCATTTCAAAATCAAGCCATTAAAGGTAAAGGTTAAAGGGACCCCTGACCATTAGGTCCAGTTGCGGACGCCTCTGGGGTTGCGGCGCTCATCTCGCTTTATTGGCCGAGGGAGCTGGCGTACAGCTTCTGGGTCATGTGGCCAGCATGACTAAGCCACTTCTGGCGAAACCAAAGCAGAAACACCGTTTACCTTCCCGTCGGAGTGGTACCTATTTATCTACTTGCATTTTGATGTGCTTTCGAACTGCTAGGTTGGCGGGAGCTGGGACCGAGCAATGGGAGCTCACCCCGTTGCGGGGATTCAAACCGCCGACCTTCTGATTATCAAGCTCTAGGCTCAGTGGTTTAGACCACAGCGCCACCTGCGTCCCCAGAACCCTTAAGCAATAACAGCAACAATAAGAATAATAATTTTTTATTATTTGTACCCCGCCCATCTGACTGAGTTGCCCCAGCCAAGTGTTAAGAAGCACTTCATGCAGGGATGCCAAGATTCCAGACCAGATTTAGCGCTGCACCAATAATAATCAATTATATACCTCATTGTCACATGCTGGTAAATGACATAGGAATACACATGTGTAACTTGATTTATCCGCTGCGTTTTCCGAGGGATCGAGGCACCGAGATCATTTAACCCCTATCTGGAAGTCTCCCTCAAGTTACCCAGGGGTAGCTGTGTTGCTGCAGCACAAAGTACTTGTGGCATCTTGAAGAATCTATTTGCTGTCACCATGGCTTCTCTGCTTTAGTGCAAGACAGGCATAGCTATAGAGAGACTTGCCATCAACCACGCCACTCACCTTTAGGACAGCCATCTCAACTCTTCAAAGCAGACAAGCATGGCTGACCTTCGACTCCCTTCCGCAAACTCAGCCTCTGTGAAATGCCAATCAGCCTTCCACCCCCCCACTGCGCTGAGAAACATACAGAACCTTTGCAGCCCAACAGATTCCACCTGTATTGTTATGTCACCTTCTAGGAGAGGCTAGGGAAGATTCTTAGAGAAGTGCCACACCACACACACACACGCTTCCTTGGGGGTCGTGCGGAATTTTGTCGGCACCATCTATGCCCCGCTGCACTTTTTACAGAGTAACATAACCAAAATGGCAGGTCCCTGCCCCAGAAAGAGATTACAATCTAATTTTGACTCTGGGGTGGTTTGAGAGTCTGATGGGGCTCCTGTGTGTAGCTCATCGCCTCCCAAGTTTCTTTGCAAGGCTGAAGGGAGGCAGCTGTCTCTTTTGCACAAAGGAGCTTTCTGTCTGGAGCTCAGTAATTTAAAATGAGGCTGAATGATGGCCAGAAGATTATCTGGAAAGATTACACTATTTTAAAAAACACAACTTCAAGGATTTCCCAAAGGTTGGGGAGGGGGGGGGGGAGAGTAAACATCTTTAACAGTGAAATCTTATATATGCTGTCTCAGATTGAGTTCAGGGGACCTTACTCCTGTGTAAGCATGCAATAAGGTTTAGACTAAGTGATAATCTGAAAAGATCAAGAACCTGAAGCAAAATGCGTCTACCCAGCTACTATGCACAGTCATATATTAGCTCCTAAAAGACCAGCAGATTTTACAGATGAGAAACCTCCTTGTTTCTGATTTTTCTCTGCACTCTTGAAAAATTGAGCCATCTCCCTTTAAAACCACAAGAATCAAAAACGCTCAGAATTTTACAACAAAGGCCTTTTGGTCATGAGAAACGTGTACGGTCTTTAGGAGACCTCCTTTAGTCCACCTTGGCTCAGCGAAATATTTTAAGGCAAGAGGTAGAATTTCACTCCACCGGTGGACCAGGGCCAACTTCCGGATTCTTGCAACAAGTGCTGGACTCCGAGAACTCCTCCAGCTAGCAGGCGTGTGCATATTTAGGATCACCAGACACACACTGAGTCATGCTCCTTAAAGGTCAAGGGACCACTCAGGCCCCCTCTCGCACCGTAAATTTAAGATGCAGCTGGTGGATCGCAGGGATGTGAATAACAAAAAACAGACCGGGCATCAGCCCCACCCTGGCTGTACGTGGCAACAGGTAGCCTGTGCCGGGGCTTACCTTACAGAGGGCAAAAGGACAAGCAAGGAGGAAAGAGCAGGCAAGAGCAATCATGACTTAAGCAGCTGCTTGCAACACGAGGCGGCAGGCAGAGCAGATCTTGCTGTTTACTGCCACACAGGGGGAAAGTGGGCCAACTCCCTCACCAACTCAGCTAACGAAGAAGGCTGATCCTGCAGCAGGAGTCTCTTTGCCCAGCCAACAAGCAGGGCAGGGAAACAACCTTTTTCCATGCAAGAGGGAAGGAAGCCCAGCAATACACCTGCTCACCAGATCTCTTAATGTCAAATGAGAAGCTCTGAGGTGTCTGCAGTTATCTTTGAAGGTGCTGGAAGTGACTGCCAGCAACCTCCTCAAGTAAACACGGTTTCTTGCTCAGAGGGACACAATGACATGGGCTTCCCCCGCACTGCTGTAGGTGCCCCATAGTGCCAACATTGGAGGCAGCCGCACACAGGTCCTGCCCACATGCCCAGGGCTCGCCATGCAAGCACTGCCGTGGATCCTCGTGCACCAATGTTCCTTGTGTAGGAAAAGTACAGCAGAATTATTATCTATCAGCAACTCCATCTGCAGGCAGAAAGAGGAGAAAAGCACTGCATGACTCTGCTTCCTTCCCTGTCTAACCCCAGCTCCTCTTATTGCAGTTTGCTGACTTCTGTCTTCCTATTAGCCCCCAAATTACTGGAATATCCAAGTATTAACAGGAGAAGGGTTGCATATTCACTTATTCTGAAATATAAAGGTAAAGGTACCCCTGCCCGTACGGGCCAGTCTTGACAGACTCTGGGGTTGTGCGCTCATCTCACTCTATAGGCCGGGGGCCAGCGCTGTCCGCAGACACTTCCGGGTCACGTGGTGAGCCAGCGCAGCACACGGAACGCCGTTTACCTTCCCGCTGGTAAGCGGTCCCTATTTATCTACTTGCACCCGGATGTGCTTTCGAACTGCTAGGTTGGCAGGCGATTCTGAAATATAGGATTTCTTAATTTTGCAGTTTGCAGAAATTATGCAACTAACTTCTTGTTTCTAAAAACGGAGAATCCATGGAAGCTTTTCCTCAAATACCACATCCTAGACTGCTCAAGAAACCAGGAGCTTCCTTTGTCTAATTTCACACTGGTGTGACTGGGAGCCATCCATCTTTCCACCTTATCTTAGACACACAAGTCAGGAACTAAAAGTTTTTAAATGAACACATGCCTCGCTCTCAATGTTATGTCTCTTGGAAAACTGATATGTCTGACTTTTAAAAATGGTTTTCATTTAAAATAAAGTGCACTTCATAAATATTCAAATAAATAAAGTGGACGTTTAAAAAAAATATCAGTAGGCATTTTAACAGCAGCTTGATTTTACAGTTTTAACTTGTTTTTATTTTGTATTGCATCTTTGTAAGCTGCGTAGACTACTGCAGTTACATGGTATACAAATTATATTAAAAAAACCTTCCGATAGGAGAGGCAGCCAGTGATGGCTGGTGCCCGCTGGGCCTGGTGAGGTGGAAGGCAGGGAGGCAAGCAGTAGGCAAAGCCTATGCCAACGGCTTCTAGTTTTGTCTCCATCCTGCTGAGTTCATCAAGGGCGACACTGAGGCAGAGGAGGAGGAAGCTGCCAAGCAGGGCCACCTGTTGGACTGTTGTAAGAAGGCACGTGAAGGTTGGCGGAGGGCAGACTGAGGTTGGTGGGGCAATGCCTCATTTGCCCTACTGGGCTGGCTCCACTAGAGGTGTGGTGTCTTTCTGAATACCAGCCACTAGGGTATCTAAGCAGAGGAAAGTGCTGCTGCCTTCATGTCCTGCCTCTGGGCTTCCCATTGTGGGGAGAGAGATTTTGTGTCTTTTCTATTGTGATTTTATGTTGACCTGATTTTATGTTGACCTGCCCTAAGACCTACGGGTACAGTAAAAGGTAAATGTACCCCTGCCCGTACGGGCCAGTCTTGACAGACTCTAGGGTTGTGCGCCCATCTCACTCAAGAGGCCGGGTGCCAGCGCTGTCCGCAGACACTTCCGGGTCACGTGGCCAGCGTGACCAAGCTGCTCTGGCGAGCCAGAGCCGCACACGGAAACGCCGTTTACCTTCCCGCTAGTAAGCGGTCCCTATTTATCTACTTGCACCCGGGAGTGCTTTCGAACTGCTAGGTTGGCAGGCGCTGGGACCGAGCAACGGGAGCGCACCCCGCCGCGGGGATTCGAACCGCCGACCTTTCGATCGGCAAGCCCTAGGCTTTTACCCACAGCGCCACCCGCGTCCCTTACGGGTACAGGGCAGTATACAAATTCAATTAATAATAATAATGCAATTGATGGTGACCTAGATGGACGCCCTTTGGTCTGATCTAGCAACCAGGCCCTTGTTACTCCTCCCCTGCCTCTGTAACATTTTTAACACTGCATGTTCCTCAGGGCAGGGACCTGTTTCTTTGCTTATGCTGTATGTTGAAGCCCCACTCATTGGCAATCACACTATATGTGCAACAGCAACTGTAGCAGCAGCAATGAGAAGGTGTGAATGCCCTGGGCATTGGGCAAGGAATGTGACACTGGATTTAAAACAACAGAATGATAGAGTTGGAAGGGACTCAGAGGATCCTAGTAGCTCAACCCCCAGCAATGAAGGAATCACGGCTAATTTCATAGCACACCTGGAGCTCTGTGTCCTGTTCTGGGCACCCTGGTTTAAGAAGGATATTGACAAGCTGTGTGCAGGGGAGAGTGACCAAGAGGAACAAGGGTCTGGAAACCAAGCCTGATGAGGAACAGTTGAAGGAGCTGGGCATGTTTAGCCTGTAAAAGAGGAGACTGAGAGGAGATAGAAAAGCCGTCTTCAAATATCTCTAGGGCTGTCACATGGATATAACAGTTTATTTGTACCCCGCCCATCTGACTGGGTTGCCCCAGCCACTCTGGGGGGCTTCCGGCACATATAAAAACACAGTATGTGCTGGAGGAGGGAACAAGCTTGTTTTCTACTGTTTCAGAGGCTAGGACCGAAAGCAATGGCTTCAAGTTGCAAGAAAGGAGATTCTGACTAAATTTCCGATGGTAAGAGCCATTCAGCAGTGGAATGGACTCCCTCAGAAGGTGGCGGAAGCAGAGGTTGGATGCTGTCATGGATGCTTTTGCTGAGATTCCTGCCTTGCAGTGGGTTGGACTAGATGACCTGCAGGGGTCCCGTTCCGACTCTATGATTATTTGGTTTGAGAGGAGGGAGGGGGAGAGAAAGAGAGATAGGGCAAAGTCTCGGGGTCCAGACTTGGGCGGCAGCCACGGCGCTCCCTGGGTGACCTTGGGCCGGCCACAGCCCAGCCTACCTGGCAGGGTCGTTTTTTTTTATTAAAGATTTTTTGTTTTGTTTTACAGAAGTACCGTATTTTTCGCACCATAGGACGCAGTTTTTCCGTCTTAAAAACTAAGGGGAAATGTGTGTGCGTCCTATGGAGCGAATGCAGGCTCCCTGGCTTCAGCGATAGCAAGGCAAAGCCTCCGAAGCCTGCGCTCCGGAGGCTTCCCGTTGCTTCCGCTGAAGCCAGGAGAGTCTGCTCTTTGAGGCTGGCGGGGGAAAAGCAGCGCTTCCCCCATCGCCAGCCCCAGAGGATGGGGGGCAGCAGGAAGGCGTGCGACGCCTTCCCGCTACTCTCCAACCCTCCTGTGGGCTTTTGCGGGAGATGGGGGAATTCCCCCACCTCCCGCAAAAGCAGGCAAAAGCCGCGCGCTCTTTAAAGAGGCTCCGTGGCTTCTGCTGGCTTTTCTAGGAGGTGGGGGAATTCCCCCATCTCCCGCAAAAGCCCGCAGGAGCCGCGCACCCTTTAAAGAGCGAGCGGCTCTTGGGGGCTTTTCCCCAAGGAGGGAGAAGGGACTGACTGGCCGAGTCAGTCCCTTCTCCCTCCTGCGCGCTTTTGCGGGAGATGGGGGAATTCCCCCACCTCCCGCAAAAGCAGGCAAAAGCCGTGCGCTCTTTAAAGGGGCTGCACGGCTTTGCTGGCTTTTCTAGGAGGTGGGGGGATTCCCCCACCTCGCAGAAAAGCCTGCAAGAGCCGCGCAGCCTTTACAGAGCGCGCAGCTCTTGGGGGCTTTTCCCCAAGGAGGGAGAAGGGACTGACTGGCCGAGTCAGTCCCTTCTCCCTCCTGCGCGCTTTTGCGGGAGATGGGGGAATTCCCCCACCTCCCGCAAAAGCAGGCAAAAGCCGTGCGCTCTTTAAAGGGGCTGCACGGCTTTGCTGGCTTTTCTAGGAGGTGGGGGGATTCCCCCACCTCGCAGAAAAGCCTGCAAGAGCCGCGCAGCCTTTACAGAGCGCGCAGCTCTTGGGGGCTTTTCCCCAAGGAGGGAGAAGGGACTGACTGGCCGAGTCAGTCCCTTCTCCCTCCTGCGGGCTTTTGCGGGAGATGGGGGAATTCCGCCACCTCCCGCAAAAGCAGGGAGAAGGTCTTGGAGTAGCGCACAGGCTGCGTGCAGCCTGTCCACTGCTCCCAGAGCTGGGGGGGGGGGGTGGAATCATATTTTTTCCTTGATTTCCCCCCCTGAAAACTAGGTGCGTCCTATGGTCCGGTGCGTCCAATCGTGCGAAAAATACGGTATGTGTAATGTCTCTCGTATTTTTTCCATGTAACATTTTTACAAATCAGTTTCATTTGTTGAGACCTTAGGGGGGGGAAGGGGTGGAGGGGGGAAGATGGGTGTGGACGGGATGCGATGTTTCTATTTTGCTTAATGTATGTAGGGTTTGGTGTCAGCATTGCTTGTGCTGTTCATCTGTGTTTCTTTGGTGGTGAGAGAGGTTGGGGTTGGCCTAGGGTGTGCTTGTTTGTTTGTGATTGGCTGTGGTGATCTTTGTTTTCGTATGTGAGTAGGGTGGGTGGGTGTGTTTTGGATTAGGTTAGCCATATTGATTTGTATGCTGTTGGTGGATTATTGTTATTGTCTTGTTGGGCTGTGTATGTGATAAAGGGGAGCCATACCGGGGTAAAGGCGTCTTCTTCTGTTAGTCCCCGTGTCAGTTTCAGTTTATTGGTTCATTTTTCTAGTAGGGCTGTTTCCCATACTATTCGGTACCATTGGTCCATGCTTACTCCTGACAGGTCTCTCCAGTGTCTGGTTATGGTGTTTCTGGCTGCTGAAAGTAGGTGGGTTATGAGTGCTTTGTGGGCATTGTCTTGGAAGATGTTTAGTAGGGCCAGTTCTGGGGTGATGTCTAATACTTGCTTAGTTTCCATATTCCTCGTGTGGCTGTTGTCCAGAATAGCTGGATTTTGGGGCACTCCCACCACATGTGGAGGTATGTGCCTGTGGAGGTACACCCTCTCCAGCATTTTGGTGAGGTTCCTGGGCGTATTAGCATTGGCAGGGTTGTTGTGAGGGCAAATTGAGATCGGCCTGGGGGAGGAATGGAGCTGGGGGTGTGTGCGAGTGGGATACGTGGATGCCTCTGAGGGAGAGGATTTCGTCTGTCAGGGGAAGGAAATGCAATGGAGAAACCAAAAGGGATAAGGTGCTACCACTAAAAAAATAAAAATAAAATAAGGGTTTAACCTAAGAAGCGGGTGGAGGTTAAACTGAACATTAAGTGGCAAAGGCTGAGGTCCCCTGAGATTATATTTAATTAAGAAAAATGACAATGATGCTGTTAATGATGCGGCAATAGTAATAATAGTATTAATAGTAATAATACTACCGGCGGTTAGGATGCTGCCCCTCCCCCTCCGGAGCCCCCCAACCTTCGTCCCCCACACCCCTCCCCCCACATAGGCCCCTCCCCCCGCCGCCGTGGGGCAGCAAGCCCCGCCCTCACCTCCTCCACGTCGCGGTCCAGGGGGCCCCCAACCTCCACTTCCACCACCGCCGCCATCTTGCCCCCTCGCCCTCCCTCCAGCGCCGAGGCCAGGTGGCCCGCTCGCTTCCGCCGGAGCCCGCCAATCGCCGCTCACTACCGGTTCCCGCTCGGCCAATCGCCCGGCGCGCGAGCCGCCGCCGGAGGGGCCGATTGGAGGAGGCGGGTCCGGGGGCGGGTCCGAGCTGGCCGAAGGAGCCTGTCAAAGCGGGCGAGGGAGCGTCCGACATGTAGCAGCTTCGTAAGCGGGCGCAAAAAGTCCTGTTTGGCCGACAAGGCGCTCAGGGACCAAGTCCCGGCAGGCTGCGTTTTCACATGCATTTTCTGGAAACCGCCGCAACAGTCTTCACGGGATGGCCGGGTACTTTTTACGCTTCTCAAGCCAGCAGGAAAATGAGGGACGCTCCCTGGCGTCTGCCCCGCCCCTTAAATCCAGCTGCGCGCGGCGCTTTCGAGGCCGGCGGGAGGAAGGACTACGGTTCCCAGCATGCTTTGCGGCATCTCCTGTCAGAGTTCCTTCTTTTAAAAAAATAAAGAACAAATTTAGCGTCGTGATTCGAAACGAAGTTGCCTCTGCCATGTAGTAGAAAGCATTTATTTATTTATTTTAAAAACTTTTTTTAAAAAAACACCAGTCCGTTAACGATCGACCTCGGTGACGTCACGAGGAGAGATGAGCAGCCAGCCAATCAGCGTCGAGGGTCAAGGGGCGGGCAGTATTGGCGGGAGATTGAGAAACCCCGGGAAACTAAGGAAGGCGCTCCCGGGATCCCTGGGGCGGGGAGAGAGATCTCTCTCAGGCACCTCATTTGCATATGTTAATTCCCGGGTCCCGCGGGTGCTGAGAGAAGCCCCCTCGGGAAGAGAAAGAGGTATGTGCTGCAGTCCGGACTGTGAAGGGTTAAATTCATTCATTCATTCACTCCCAAGTATTTCTACTTTTTGTATATTTTCGTTTTTGTTGTTTAGTTTTGGTTGTTGTTTTTTCTGGTCTTGTCTCCCCCCCCCCTTTTAAAGTGCTATTCTATTTATCTGAGATCCCTAAATATTTTTACTATGCACTTTGTAACATTTATCTTAGTCTAATAATAATAATAATAATAATAATAATAATAATAATAATAATAATAATAATAATTAATATGTTATTTATACCCCGTCCTTCTGGCTAGGCTTCCCCAGCCACTCTGGGCGGCTTCCAACAGAATAGTAAAATACAATAGTCTATTAAACATTAAAAGCATCACCGAGAAGACCCTCTGCCTGGTTCCCTGTAACTTGGCTTCTCACAGTGAGAATGTAGTGTATATGTAATGTAAGATCAATTTATCCTTTTTATGTTTGTTGTGTAATTATTTTTTTGGGGGGGGAAATCATTCACTTATTTTGTGGCATTTTGTTTTGGCTGCTGGGGGCATGTGGGTTGGAGGCAGGGCTTTCCTTTGTGAGTCAGGAACCAGATGTATAAAGCTCTTCCTTCTCCCTCCGCTCAGACACCCCCCTTGCGAAGAGGACAAAGAGGATGTCTTCAGCCACAGGTAGGGAGCCAGCTGCCTCCGCCGCCTCTGCCAAGGCTTCTTAGCCACACTCTCTGCAGCCTCAGTGGCGTCATCTGCGCCCACACAGACGTGCCGCTTCAGTGGCACCGAAAAGAGGGAGGAAGCAGCTGCAGGTCCAAGGGGAACTTTCCCTCTTTCTTGAAAGGTAACTCTGTACGCTTCAAACCGAGGCTGCACACCTGCAAAGCCCAACTTCCCTGAAGAATCCTGGGAACTGTGGTTTGCAAAGGGTGCTGGGAACTGTAGTTCTCTGAGGGAAACCAAGCCTTGTGAGGAACAGTTGAGGGAGCTGGGGATGCTGGGAATGGAATGGAGGAGACGGAGAGGAGGCAGGAGAGACATCTTCAAACGCCTTCCACGGGGAAGATGGAGCAAGCTAGATTTCTGCTGCTCCGGAGGGAAGGATCCGAACCAAGGGATCCAAATGGCAAGGAAGGAGATTCCGACTCAGCAGCAGGAAGCAACTTCTGGGATTCTTGAGCTGTTCATTCCTGCAGACCCTCCAAGCGTCCTTATTTTCCAGGGACGTCCCTGATTTAGAGAAGCCGTCCCGGTTTCTGATTTGATCCTCTGCGGAGTGTTCCACTTTTCCTTAGGATGTCTCTATTTTCATTGGCGGAATGTTGGAGCTCTTCAGACACCCCCCTTGCGAAGAGGATGTACAGTGGACGCTCGGGTTGCGAACGTGATCCGTGCGGGATGCACGTTCGCAACCCGCAGCGTTCGCAACCCGCAGCGTTCGCAACCCACGGTCTGCAGATGCGTAGGTTGCTATTCGGCACTTCTGCACATGCGCAAAGCACGATTTAGCACTTCTGCACATGCATGGCCGCTGAAACTCAGAAGTAACCCGTTCTGGTACTTCTGGGTTTCGGCAGTCTGCAACCCCCCAAAAAAGCAACCTGTAACCCGAGGTATGCCTGTATTTAGTGCAGTTATTACATTGTTATTGTGCCTTCTCGTTTGATCCCTGCCACAACCTCCCTGCGAGGTAGGACAGGGCCGAGATGAGGCCGTGGTCTTCTGACCATTCCACCCGCCCCAGGGTTGCAGGCATTGAGCTCTGTGGCCGAGAGGGAGGGGAGGATTCGAGTGCCCCCCCCGGTTGGGGGTGAATTGTGGCTGGGCTGCGTCCTCACCTACAGAACAGAAGCGAAGGCCCCAGGCATCTCATCCCGAGGGAGTAAGAAGCGAAAAAGAAATCCATCTCTCTTTCCCCCAAACCAGGTGGGGCTCGCGATGGGAAAAACCCCATAAGCGGAAATGAAAACCTGAGCAAATGAGGGTGTCTCACTGAATCCTTGGAAATGGCTCCAGTCAAAATCAAATACGTTGTGTCTTTCACATTTCAGGTAACATCCATGTTCTTTTAAATTAAGGGAAATAGGGAGTTACAAAACAAGCTGAGCTCAAAACATCTAGTATATTAGTAGGCAAACGGCTATTTAAAAATAGTAAAAAGCTTTGAACGTTGGTTTTTTAAAAAAATAAAAAACACCAGTTAATATCATGTCACCAACTCATCATATACCGTATTTTTCGCTCTATAAGACGCACCAGACCACAAGACGCACCTAGTTTTTGGAGGAGGAAAACAAACAAACAAAAATATTCTGAATCTCAGAAGCCAGAACAGCAAGAGGGATCGCTGTGCAGTGAAAGCAGCAATCCCTCTTGCTGTTCTGGCTTCTGGGATAGCTGCGCAGCCTGCATTCGCTCCACAAGACGCACACACATTTCCCCTTACTTTTTAGGAGGGGAAAAGTGAGTCTTATAGAGCAAAAAATACGTAACTGGCTCTTTTTGTGTTCCAAATGGTAACCAGTTGGTTTTATTATTTTACTAGCAGTGCAATGGGGAGCTTAGACCCAGAGTCTCACCACTATTAGTTCTCGCCCTCTTCTCGCCCTAGGATCTTCTGGCATATGCATTTTCAAATTAAGGACTATAAACTTGCAGTAGAAGAGATCTGAGCATCTTGAGATGCCAGCTCCAGTGCCAAATAGTGGACTGTGCAGTTCTGCAGCAATCTAGTGGGTGCAGAGGGATAAATACCGCCCTGAGAATATACAAAGGTAAGAGTCGTGTGCTGTGCTCCTCAGTTGTTCCTTCTCGCTCCTTTCTCTGGGGCAGGATCCCAAGTCCCCGGTGGAGAACCTTCTGCTTGAAGAAGGGGTTCGGCCCTGGCTCAGCTCTCCCCAGGACCGGAGCAGGCAACTGAAAGCAGAGCTGCAGCTGGAACACGCAAGCCGCATTGGCTACATTGATGTGGGTAAGCATGTGGGAGGAGGTAGCAAAGGAACCCCCTCTATGGGAACAAAAGGGATAGAGAGAAGTTTTTATCCCTCTCTCACAACACTGGAACTTGTTGAAATCTGTGATGGGTTTGGTGAGCCCTTCACAATAAATCCCTCTGCTTAATCAGAGATGTATTTACAGTCTTTATTGTACATTATTTACAAGGTATAGAGCATCACTTCAAGTGTCCGAATCATCCGTAGGGTTGGGCAATCCCAAACGCCTCCGTTGTTCCTGGCGGGCATTTTAACCCCCTCCTGTCCTGAGCTGATGGAACTGGTCTTCCTTCTCCCTCTGTGCCTGAGCTGGTAGATAGGAGCCTTGCCTCCATCTGAGTGGCTTCCCCTTGCTCTCCACCCCCTTTCAGTGCTGCCTCTTCTACCAGCCCCTCTCTCCCCCCCTCCTTCAACTCCGGAGCCTTCCCTGCCAGCTCTGTGACAAAATCCAATGAAGCTGAATGTTGAGAGATTCAGCAAACATTAAAGTCTTTCTTCACGCAGCACAGAGTTGAACTGTGGAACTCAGTCCCACAGGAGACAGTGATGGCCACCAACCTGGATGGCTTTGAAAGAGGTTTAGACAAATTCATGGAGGAGAAGGCTTACCAATAGCTACTAGCCAGCAGTGCTTCTGAATGCCAGATGCTGGGAACCACAGGAGGGGAGGGTGTTGCTCTCATGTTTGTATCCTGCTTGCAGGTTTCACATCCTGAGCATCTGGTTGACCCCTGTGAGAACAAGATGCTGGACTAGAAAGCCTTGATCCAGGAGGCCCTTCTTGTGTTCTTAAGGGCTGATGTTGTAACTGCAAGGCAGGATTAGAACCACAGAGCAAGTGACACACTGCTTTAAATTTAAAATATGTTAAGACAGCATGTTCTTCAATGAGGTTTTGGCATTCTGAGCAAATGTATTGCAATGTAGGTTTGTGTCCAGGTGATGGTTGTGTAGCTGAGCCCGTTGCTCTTCAAAACAGTTTTAAGTTTGAATTTATATATTTTTTAACTGTTGCTATATCTGTATTGGGACGTGGGTGACGCTGTGGGTTCAACCACAGAGCCTAGGGCTTGCCAATCAGAAGGTCAGCAGTTCGAATCCCCGCGACGGGGTGAGCTCCCGTTGCTCGGTCCCTGCTCCTGCCAACCTAGCAGCTCGAAAGCACATCAAAGTGCAAGTAGATAAAGAGGTACTGCTCTGGCGGGGAGGCAAACGGCGTTTCCGTGCGCTGCTCTGGTTTGCCAGAAGCGGCTTAGTCATGCTGGCCACATGACCCGGAAGCTATACGCCGGCTCCCTTGGCCAGTAAAGCGAGATGAGCGCTGCAACCCCAGAGTCGGCCACAACTGGACCTAATGGCCAGGAGTCCCTGTTATTGCCCCTGTTATACCTGATTGCAAATTCAAATGTATCCCTATTGTGTTTTATGACTTCCTTGATATTGTTTGTGGGCTGGAACTGGTCTGTGACCGAAATAATAAATTTAAAAAGTGAAAAATTAATAAATGGAAAAAAACAAAAGGAGCAGGAGACTAGGGCAGGCTGCAGGGCTCTGAGTCTGAATGTTTGTGAACCCCATATGAGTGCACTGCAACTCAACTAAACTGAGGAGGAAAGGCAGGCAGTGCCAGCAGGAGACAACTTTCGGACGTTTGATAGTCAAAGTGCAAGTTCTTTGGTGCAGAACTTGATGTTCTGTTTGTGCTCTTCAGGGAACTGCGGCTCTGCCTTCCTTCAGATAGACGTGGGACGATCCTCCTGGCCTCTAGACCAGAGCTACCTCACTCTGTTGCCCACCACAGCCTTGATGATGCCCGCTGATGCAAAGCTGGATAAGAATCGCTCTGCAGTCCGGATGTTTAAAGAAGGTAAGGAAGGTGGGCACTCTTCAGCCACGTGGAGCCACCTGAGGACTGTAAATGGCCTGGATTGTATTCGCTCAGCATCTCCCTCTCTGTGCCCCACAGGAGACTTCCTGGCTTCAGCTCTAGGCGAGAAGTGGGATCGTATCAGACTCACTTGTAGCCAGCCCTTCAACAAGCGCACGCAGTTCGGTCTCTCCTTCATCCGAATCCGCACTCCACAGGACGTAGACGACAGCAAGTCAGGCCCAGTCTCTGTTCCTAGTCAGGTACAGATCCATGGGTCATGGGTAGCTATCCTGCAATTTTACGCAAGCATGGGGGCCAAAATCCAGCAAGTAAAGAATATTGTGCACAAACTGGGCGTTAAACTAGTGAAGTTGTTTGTGTAAATAAAATAAAAAAGGTAAAGGTACCCCTGCCCGTACGGGCCAGTCTTGACAGACTCTAGGGTTGTGCGCCCATCTCACTCAAGAGGCCGGGGGCCAGCGCTGTCCGGAGACACTTCCGGGTCACGTGGCCAGCGTGACAAAGCTGCATCTGGCGAGCCAGAGCCGCACACGGAAACGCCGTTTACCTTCCCGCTGGTAAGCGGTCCCTATTTATCTACTTGCACCCGGAGTGCTTTCGAACTGCTAGGTTGGCATGCGCTGGGACCGAACAACGGGAGCGCACCCCGCCGCGGGGATTCGAACCGCCGACCTTTGATCGGCAAGCCCTAGGTGCTGAGGCTTTTACCCACAGCGCCACCCGCGTCCCGTAAATAAAATACTAAATACTAAAATACCAAAATAAAGTGTGCACAAGCTCCCCATGTATTTATTTTTTTCAAATTAAAATACAGTGGTACCTCTGGTTAAGAACTTAATTCATTCTGGAGGTCTGTTCTTAACCTGACATTGTTCTTAACCTGAAGCACCACTAGCTAATGGGGCCTCCCACTGCTGCCGCACCGCTGCTGCGCAATTTCTGTTCTCATCCTGAAGCAAAGTTCTTAACCCGAGGTACTATTTCTGGGTTAGCGGAGTCTGTAACCTGAAGCGTATGTAACCTGAAGCATCTGTAACCCGAGGTACCACTGTAATTGGGAGGCTGCCAATTCTGCTGTTTGTCTGCTCAAAAGCCACCCTCTCCCCCAGGAAGTCCGTAAAATTATCCATGGAGGAAGTGAATAGAGAAAATACTAGAACACTAGAACTTTTCGACATCCGGTGAAGCTGAAGATTCAGGGCAGATGAAAGAAAGTGTTTTACGCATCGCATAGTTGAATTACAGCACTCGTTCACAAGAGGCAGTGATTTCCACCTGCCTAGATGGTTTCAAAGGGTTAGACCAATTCATGGGGTATAAAGCTCTCAATGGCTACTAGCCATTGTCTGTTCCGCTTCTACTGCCAGGGGCAGTAATGCTTCTAAATACCAGTTGCTGGGAATTCCAGGAGCTGAGAGTCCTGTAGTGCTCCGGTCCTACTTGCTGGTTTCCCACAGGGATCTGGTTACGAGAAGAGGATGCTGGGCTTTGGCCTGATCCAGCAGGTGGTTCTTATGTTCCCTGCAATATGAAACCACTCGAGGGATTTTTGAAGGTCTACTGTTCCTAGCAGCCACCATTATTCAGAAGCACAGTGACCTTGTTCTACCTTGCTTTGCCTGCCAGATGCTGGCAAGGACGCCCTGCTTGTGAACATCCCTGAGGCCTTTGATTGGCAGGATACTGAGCCAGGTGGGCTGTTGTTCTAGCCCAGAATGGCCATTCTTATCCTGATGAGCAAAATCTCTTGTTTTTTTGTATTTGAGCTGAGCTATAGAAGCAGGAAATGGGTAAAAGCCTCAGCGCCTAGGACTTGCCGATTGCATGGTCGGCGGTTCGAATCCCCGCGACGGGGTGCGCTCCCGCTGCTCGGTCCCAGCACCTGCCAACCTAGCAGTTCGAAAGCACCCCCGGGTGCAAGTAGATAAATAGGGACCGCTTACCAGCGGGAAGGTAAACGGCGTTTCCGTGTGCGGCTCTGGCTCGCCAGAGTAGCTTCGTCACACTGGCCACGTGACCCGGAAGTGTCTGCGGACAGCGCTGGCTCCCGGCCTCTAGAGTAGGATGAGCGCACAACCCTAGAGTCTGTCAAGACTGGCCCGTACGGGCAGGGGTACCTTTACCTTTACCTTATAGAAGCAGGGGACAAAAGGACTTCCTCAGTTTGCTAATTATTGATCTCTCAAATGTTACCTCTCTTCTTTCATCCTGTTTGTTGCCCACAGGCTCCTTCTGAGCCCAGCAGCAGCCCATGGCTCTCCAATGCAGCCTTCTGCAGGACGTTCTTCCCAGAGGCGCCATCGTAAGTACCTGCGTGTGTGCATCCATTGCTCGCACCCACCCACCTCTGGCACAGGGCCCCCAGAAGGGTGGACAGAAGGCAATGCAGTCCTTAGCCTGAAAAAATGTTAGTTTGAAACTTCTGGAGGTCTTCAGGATAAGGCTGGACTGCCATCAGTGTGCTTTATGTGCAATACATTCCATTTTTGGACAGGGCAGGTTGGAACAATAGAGAACAGACAGTCCTTTTCCAGTTTCTGATTCTGTTCTTGTGGTTCTTTTGCCCACGCCTGTCTCTTGGTAGCAGCATTGCTTCCAGGAAGCTGGAGTCTTGGTTCTGCAGTGGCCTCTTGAGGAAGCAGCTGTTGGGTTTCTCTTTGCAGGAGCACCGAGCAGGAAGCGGCGCTAAAAAGCCGGCTGCAGCAGCTGGACCCAGCCTCCAGCCCTGGCACCTGCATGAGCCGCCCAGCCAGGATGGTGCTGCAGGGGGCCTGTGCCCGCAAAAGAGCCTTCCCCCTGGTGCCTGGCCCCACCCCTCCTTCTGCAGAGAGCAAAGAGGACGGGCAGAGCCAGCAGGAAGCTCAGGAGCCAGTTGTGTCGCGTGAGTATTGGGGATGCGGAGGGGGGTGGAGAGATGGGGACACTTCTGTCTGCCGATCAGCTACCCCTCCAAGCACCAACATGAGGGCAGATCCACAAGGGGCAATTCAAACTATGTTTGATGTGTTGAGCTGGTCTTGTGAATATTCCAGCCCGTGTCAGAGAGAGTGGCTTGAGCACACTGGGATAGTGCCCGACAAAATCTTAAAACCTTGGAAAGACTAAGCCAGATTCCTTTTTCATTTTATTTCATTTCATTTTTTATTTGTATGCCGCCTTTCCATAGTTAAAAAAACAATGCTCAAGGCGGCTTACAGCATGACCTTTAAAGCCCTAAACGGCTTCAAAGGCACAGTATACCTGAAGGAGCATCTCCACCCCCATCATTCTGCCCAGACACTGAGGTCCAGCTCCGAGGGCCTTCTGGCAGTTCCCTCCCTGCAGGAAGTGAGGTTACAGGGAACCAGGCAGAGGGCCTTCTCGGTGGTGGCACCCACCCTGTGGAACGCCCTCCCATCAGGTGTCAAAGAGAAAAATAACTATCAAACTTTTAGAAGACATCTAAAGGCAGCCCTGTTTAGGGAAACTTTTAATGTTTAATAGGTTATTGTATTTTAGTGTTTTGTTGGAAGCCACCCAGAGTGGCTGGGAGGACCCAGCCAGATGGGCGGGGTATAAATCATAAATTATTATTATTATATAACAAGATTTACATAATTACAAAAATCATAAACCACATAAAAAAAAAGCACAACCAAATGGGAAACCATTTCCACATAAATCAACATCTAAAGCTAAGAATACAGTACAGCGTTAATATCACAGTTTAAAATGACATAGGTAAAAAATAACAGCAATTTAAACAAAAACAAAACAAAACTGAGCCTTCTCTGCCCAGCAGCAGCAGCGGCAGCAGTCCTTTATAGAGCCCATCAGGTGTAGAGCCCTGGATCAGGTGTTGAGTGTCAGGTCTGGGGCCCTCTGGCACTGAGCAGGGGAGTCCTGATGGATCTGTGCTGCTGATTGGGTTTTTTTTCCCTGCATCCTTTGTTGCTACTAGAGGTGCAGGTGGTCTTGGTGGCACAGAGTGCGTTCTACCAGATTAGGCTTGTGGCCCAACTATGACCCTTTCTGGACAGGGATAGCTTGACTTTAGTTATCAGGTGCGCAGCCTGGGAGTCATTTTGGACTCACAGCTGTCCATGGAGGTGCAGGTCAATTCTGTGTCCAGGGCGGCTGTCTACCAGCTCCATCTGGTACGCAGGCTGAGACCCTATCTGCCTGCGGACTGCCTCGCCAGAGTGGTGCATGCTCTGGTTATCTCCCACTTGGACTACTGCAATGCGCTCTACGTGGGGCTACCTTTGGAAGTGACCCAGAAACTACAACTAATCCAGAATGCGGCAGCTGGACTAGTGACTGGGAGCCGCTGCCGAGACCACATAACACCGGTTCTGAAAGACCTACATTGGCTCCTGGGACATTTCCGAGCACAATTCAAAGTCTTGGTGCTGACCTTTCAAGCCCTAAACGGCCTCAGTCCTTTATACCTGAAGGAGCATCTCCACCCCCGTCGTTCAGCCAGGTCCAGCTCCGAGGGCCTTCTGGTGGTTCCCTCCCTGCAAGAAGCGAGGTTACAGGGAACCAGGCAGAGGGCCTTCTCGGTGGTGGCGCCTGCCCTATGGAATGCCCTCACATCAGATGTCAAGGAAATAAGCAGCTATCTGGCTTTTAGAAGACATCTGAAGGCAGCCCTCTTTAGGGAAGTTTTTAATGACTGATGTTTTTAGTATGTTCTGATGCCACCCAGAGTTGGTGGTGTATCAATCAATCAATCAATCAATCAATCAATCAATCCTCAGCATCATCATCAATGCTCTGGGAACTTCAAGACCGGACGATTGTGATGTGCTTTATGTGGGGCTGCCTTTGAAAATGGTTTGGAAGCATCACTTGGTGCATGAGCCACTGAAGAGAACTAGAGACCTCCCTCACAGCCTACTAAGAGCCACTAGAGGGAGGAAGAGAACCATTATGGAGTCTCTGGCCCCTCAGTTCTTCCCTGCTGTCTTCTAGCTGCAGAGTAGATCAGCTACAATCTTATCCTGCCTGCAAAGATCAAAATAATTTAGACTGTTTAGCTTGGAAGGATAAAAAGGGAGGGGGGTACAATAGCACTCTCCAAACAGGATGGCACGGATGAGGTTATTCTGTTTTCATCCTCACAGTAACCCTGTACAGGTTGGTCTGTCGACAAAACAAGATGTGATGCAGGTGGCCTGTGAATGGCACCTTCCACTAAAACAGCGCAGGAGGGAGTTTTTTTTTAATAAAAAAAAGCCTGCCCAAGTGCCGTAGCCCTGAGCATACTCCCCCCCCCCCGCCCCGTTCCCCCACCCAGTGACTGCTGGGTTGAGATCCTGCTTGTGAGTCTCTGGCTCAGTCCCCTGAGACTCTCCTCATTGGCACAAGAAATACTACTACTACTACTAATAATAATAATAATAATTTATTATTTGTACCCCGCCCATCTGGCTGGGTTTCCCCAGCCACTCTGGGCGGCTTCCAACAAAGATGAAAAATACACTAAAATGTCACATATTAAAAACTTCCCTGAACAGGGCTGCCTTCAGATGTCTTCTGAATGTCAGGTAGATGTTTATCGCTTTGACATCTGATGGGAGGGCGTTCCACAGGGCGGGCGCCACCACCGAGAAGGCCCTCTGCCTGGTTCCCTGTAACTTGGCCTCTCGCAGTGAGGGAACTGGCAGAAGCCCCTTGGAACTGGACCTCAGTGTCCGGGCAGAACGATGGGGGAGGAGACGTTCCTTCAGATATACTGGACCGAGGCTGTTTAGGGCTTTAAAGACACATCCAATGGCTTTTATTGGCTGTGGTGATTTTAATTATTAATTTTTTTTTTGCATACTGCTGTATCATACACACACACACACACACACACACACACACACACGTAGTTTACAGCAATAAAAACCAGGCAGAGGGCCTTCTCAGTAGCGGCGCCCGCCCTGTGGAACGCCCTCCCATCAGATGTGAAGGAAGTAAACAACTACAGTGGTACCTCAGGTTACAGATGCTTCAGGTTACAGACTCCGCCAACCCAGAAATAGTGCTTCAGGTTAAGAACTTTGCTTCAGGATAAGAACAGGAATTGTGCTCCGGCGGCGCAGCGGCAGCAGGAGGCCCCATTAGCTAAAGTGGTGCTTCAGGTTAAGAACCGTTTCAGGTTAAGTACGGACCTCCGGAACGAATTAAGTACTTAACCTGAGGTACCACTGTACCTGACTTTTAGAAAACATCTGAAGGCAGCCCTGTTTAGGGAAGTTTTTAATGTTTGATCGTGTTTTTAATATTCTGTTGGGAGCTGCCCAGAGTGGCTGGGGAAACCTAGTCAGATGGTGTAGAAATAAATTGTTGTTGTTGTTAGAACATAAAACCAATAAAAAGTTGACAACTTTGAGCTCTGGTCTCCTCAGCTGAAGTCTTCCCCTCTTCCTACCATGTGTGACAGTGGATGTCTGCTTGGGGTACAGACACTGGCGGACGAAGGCGGGGGCAGGGGCTCGCCGCTCACACCTCCCGACGCACGCCATGCCCCTGGGTGTACACCGCTCCTGGTACCAGAGCAGGTAGCTCTGCCACTGGGTACAGCATGGCAGAATAATGATGATGATGATGATGATAATAATAATTAATAATAATGTATACCCCGCCCATCTGGCTGGGTCCCCAGCCACTGTGGAATAAGGGTTTTCATCAGTGGGTGGACGGTCCTGCCTTGTGGAGGAGGGTTTGGGCAAGATCCCCTCTTTGGTGATCCTTTGTTTCCATCTCTCTCCGTGGGATCTCATTTGCTGTGGAGCAGTCAGCCCCACAGGTGAGTCTTACCAGACACACCAGCCCTGCATGACTAATGTTGCTGACTTGATTCATCTTGCAGGGCCCAAGCAGGAATCGTCTGCCAGAAGAGGAGGCACGAAAACGAGTCGAAGACGGGCATCATGCAGCAACCTGACGAGGTGATTTGGCCGTGTGGGGAATTTCCTTCCGGTTCAGTCCCAGTCAGCTGCCCTTCGGATGCAGCTCAGGGTTCAAGGTGGTGTTTTCCCAGAGCAAATCTGTGGCCAACTCTGTATCCTGCAGCTTCCGTTAACCCAGAAAAAATAGATGTTTCATGACTCCTAAAGGGCATGATACTGGCGGAATAATAATAATAATAATAAAATAAATAAATAAATAAATAAATAAATAAAAAAAATTTTATTTATGACCTGAATGCAGCTGTTATAATATGGGAAATTAATGGAGTCTGATTTGTTACATCCCTGAAAATAGAAGACAAAGTATACTCAAAGGGAAAATACCACCATGCATAGTAGTCGTTTTGAATAAATAGTGTATGTTTGCTGAGATGAGATGTGTATAAAGGGAGACTTTAAAATCTTTTAAATGAGCAACAACCTTCTCCACAGCTCTGCAGCAGCTTCTTCTGTCAAGCGTAGGGGTAATTCTCGAAGGGAGAGAAGAAACCCAGGCCAGCAGGGAAGACTGAGGAACATGGAACGTGAAGAGGAGGAAAAGGAAGAGGAAGAGAGATGGCCTAGAAAGAGAGAGGTGGAGTTGGGTGTGTGCCCCATCTGTGCGGGTGAGTAACAGATGGCAAATTCAAATAAGTTGCTTGCCAGGACCGGTGCGACTATTGGGCAGAGGGAGGCAGCTGCCTCAGGCGACAGGAGCTGAGGGGCGGTAGCAGTACCACTTTCTTGGCTGTTCCCCTCTGTTAGAGGGCAAGAAGTGGAGGTGCACAACACCCCCTAAACTAGCCGGCAGTCCTCAGGTGTGCTGGGGGATGCTGCTATCCTGTTGTCACCTTCTGAACATGGAAGGGGGTTGCACCATCTCGTCCTTTGCCTCTGGCAGCAAAATGTCTTGGGCCAGCTCTGCTATCTGCAGTCAATCGCTGAGGAGCAATTTATTTTTCAATGATGCTTTCTTTGTGTTTGTTTGCGTGATGTTTCCCACCTTCGATTTGCAACACATGGCACTATTTGGCGAGGAGAAATTGTTGGGAGAAGATAGCGTTTTGTTCGCACCCTGCTGATTGGGGGAGAGAGCACGTTGTTTGCACCACGCTGAAGGGATTGGCATCGTATTTGCAACGTGCAGGAGGGTTGCACGTAATGGTGTTGCCTCAAGTGGCAATCTCAGAGTGGATTGTGGCCAGAGACAGGGGTGGGAGAGAAGGGAGGTTCTAGCTTCTGGTGGCTCTTGTCTGACCCTCTTGCCTCCTTCCGCAGGCCATTTCCCCACCAATCTCTTACCAGCTCATGCCTCCAGCTGTGGAGAAGAGGATTTTGAAGCGAGATCTTCCTCCTCGTCTCCATCATCGTGGGAAGAACTTGTCGCAGACTGCGTCCACTGCCCCATCTGCCAGTTCCGTTTCCCCGCTGCTGAGATAGAGAGACACGCTAGCAACTGCGGGGAGCCGACTGAGGCCCTGGTGAACGGACCCTCCTGGCTTTGGGCAGAACAGGGCGAGTAGATTGGGTGCAAGTGCCCCAGGGCAGGCGGCCTTCGCTGGTCAAACCAGTCGCACGTTTGGTGATCAGCTGGAATCAGGATGTAGCCAGAACAAGGAGCCCACAAAGGACACACAGGGCTGGAAGTGAGACTAACGAGAAGAGAGTAAGAACTCCAGTAATCGGGGCAAGGAACATGTTATTCGGGTTGCAGTGCCAGCACCTCTTACTCTCCCTCTGGTCTGATTCTTCTCACCAACATCCGCACACGCCAGAGCACTGAGGCTCATACTGATTTGTTGCTGTAGTTCACAGCCAAGACTGTCGGAAAGATTCCTCGGAAAGGCGACTTTCTTCCCTGCTCACCTTCTCCTCTCCCTTAAGGAAGCTGAGGGGCAGGCACTGCACAGCCCATACTGGTCTCTTTTCCGTACAGACCAGCAGCACGAAAAACGAAGACTGAATTAAATGTTTGCAAGGCTTGCCAAACTCCAAACTCCTGTCCCCCCTGGCTGGGGCTCCTGGGAGCTCTAGGTTCTGCAACCAGTGGCGTAGCGTGGGTTGTCAGCACCCGGGGCAAGGCAAGTAATTTGCGCCCCCTAACCCGTGGATTTGCGCCCCCTAACCCTAACCCCCAGATGTTGTGCCCGGTGCGGCCGCCCCCCCTGCACCCCCCACGCTACGCCACTGCTTGTACCTGTTTTGGGCATAACCTCTGAGGATCATCTTGTCCAACCCCCTGCAATGCAGGAATCTCAGCTAAAGCATCCATGACAGATGGCCATCCAAACTCTGTGTAGAAACCTCAAAGGAAGGAGAGTCCATCCTCTGCTAAGGAGGAGGACCATTCTACTCTTGAACTGCTCTGTCAGAAAGTTCTTTCTGATGTTTAGTCAGAATCTTTTTTCTTGTAACATGAATCCATTGGTTTAGGACCAGTTGTAGCTTGCAGCTTACACAGTGAAACCCTAGCCCTGTCTACATAGAACGTAGAGTGAATTCAGTGGGGCTATCTCCTACATAAGGGGGGTTAGGATGGCAGGCTTTCTGTACAAAGCCAAAAATCCTATCCTTTGCTCCACACACTGTTCCCTCTGGCCTCGCCCTCCACTAGGATGCGGTCCGTGAAACGTTGCAGAAGATGGAATGCAGCGCCCAGCTGAAAAAAGATTCCCACATGGATCTCAGTGACTTTTAGCATGTAAGTGGACTCCTCTCCAGTAAATCTGTGGTGAATCCCATTTTCGGTTTGCATTAGTGAAATCCAGCATAAAAGGACTGCAGTGAAGGGAATAAATGCAAAACAGGATATACCGTAGCTTCACCTTATCCTTTGACTCCTCTCCTCTCTCTCTCCCTGGAGAAATGAAGCAGTGACCCGACAAGGAGTAGCGAAGGATGGGCGTGTTTCGTCCCTGATCCGGATGAGATCAAGGCGCCGGCAATGGGAAGGAGGCGGGGGAGAAGCTGCTCCAGACCCCCCCCCCATCTCTCCCATCGCCGCTGGAGGGGTCATGGGGGCACTGAGCCCGGGAGGCGGGTAGCCAGCCAGGGCGCACCTACCCAACCTCGCCGCGCGCCCAGGCGCGCTGCTCTCTCCAGCTTCCTCCCGGCCGGCCGGGCCAGCGGCTCTACCTCTTCCTTTGCCTCTTTGAGGCGCTTAATTCCCAGCAAGCGATTAGCAGGCTCGGATCGGATCCTGCGGCAGGCGGCGCCTCCACCTCCTCCTCCTCCCGGCGCTGCTGCTGCTGCTGCGCGGCTCTTTTCCCTCCACCAACGGCGCGCTGCGCCTTGGAGAGGTTCCCGCTTCCTCGAGGGGGGCCGGCCAAACGGAGACGACGACCCCCCACTCCAACCAAGCCTCGATTGCTTGTCCCTTCCCTCTGGACTCGCGCCCCCCTCAAAATGTTGCGCCCGGTGCGGTCGGCACCCCTGGCACCCCCCACGCTACGCCACTGTCTGCAACATGTGGAGTCCGCAGGTTCAGGACCATTTGGACCAAGGGGCCTGTTCTAGGATGGTGCCGGTGACAATCTTTGTTGTTAAAAATTGGGGTTTTTTTTCTGAAAAGTTGTGTGTCACTGAATGAACCGATTGTCCTTTTTTTGAATTTTCCTCCGCACATTCATAGGCACCAATATTTCAAAGGGAACCCCTGTCCTGCATTACAATTTAGTGGGCAGCTTCATGCTTCTTCCCCTTTCCCCAGCAGGACATGCGCAACATCTCTTTCCGATACTTTCTGTTGTTGCAGAAATGCCCCACCGTAATGGTATCCTAGTGACCCACTGCTATTATTTGTGAGCTACCTATTTAAAAGGGGGGAAAAAGCAGCTGCCCTCATTGCTCCGCCCACTTTTGGCTCTGGCCCCGCCCACCACTGGAGTGCGGCCCTCAGAATGTTGGCCAGAAGGGAAGGTGGCCCTTGGGGCGGGAAAGGTCCCCCAGCCCTGCTCCAGTTGCCCCAGATGGTCCAGGTTTAATTCCAAAATGCTGAATGGCACTTTGGCTGTTCTCCTTGGTTAATGTTTTGAATGATATTCTGCTGTTGCGGCAGCAGACCACTCCTCTTGTATGCCGCCTGCATCAACGGCTGTTGGGCTGGGTGCACTTGGACCCTGCTCCTGCCTGGGAATCCTGCAAGCACTCTGTCTCCCAGCAAGTGTTATTCAGAGGCATGGCAGCCTCAGGCAGTAGCAATCGAACCTAGCTGATATAGAAAAAGCCTGCTCCTTTTCCCTTGTGGGGTATCCAAGAGCACATATGGAGTCCTTAAGTGGGTTCCCTATCGGTAGGAGAAAACACCAACCAGAGTTTATTGAGTACCTTATATACTCGAGTATAAGCCGACTTTTTCAGCATATTATTTATGCTGAAAAAGCCCCCCTTCAGCTTATACTTGAGTGAGGCAGGCAGTGGCGGCAGCTGCCTGCTTGTTCTTCCTCCTCCGCCGCTGCTGCCACCACCAGGTTTGTGGTGTGGTAAACCAGCTTATACTCAGGTCAATAAGTTTTCCCAGTTTTTTTGTGCTAAAATTAGGTGCCTCGGCTTATATTTGGGTCAGCTTATACTCGAGTATATACGATATATTGAGAAGCAAGGCAGCTAGTAAGCCTGATCTTTATTAACTTGCAACAGGGTGCTCTCACACACACACCCCCACGCAGGAGGGAGGAGGAACCCAGAACAATGGTGCGCAAGCCCTTATATGGACTTTTGAAATTGCCCATCCTGTAGCCCAAGACCACCGCCTAAAACATACACACATCACAGAAGGAGGCGGTCTACAGCAGAAATCCTGTCTGCCAGGATACCTGATATTGGTCACTGATTGCTTTACCTGGGCAGCCTGGCCATTCTTTTGTGAGGGCAAATACTTTAATTCCTGAAACCAGGTCACAGGCTCACCCTGTTCATACACACATAAGCCCTTCAGACAGGTAAGCAACAGACAATGGGGAGGTTTTCCCATTTCCTTCCTTCTTGCAGAGAAATATTTGAGGTCAATTTGGGAGGGTCAAAATGGTTTGGGAGAGTCACAATGGCTTCAGGATTGCTCTCCTGTACTATTTCAGACACATGGTTTATATACTTATCTATGTGATTGCCTTGTACGTTTATGAACATTTATTTTATATTTGAGAACTTAGAATTATTGTAACACGTAACACTAGCCATGGTGCTTGAAGCTATTACCACATTGGAGGTTGGCACTGCCTGCTGCAGGAGTGAGTTCCAAAGTTCCATTGCACACTGTGTGAGGTTCTTCCCTCTGAATCTTCCAGCATTCAGTTTCATTGGATGGCCCCGCTGGGCTCTAGTATTATGAGAGAGAGAGAAAACCTTTCCTTGATGAAGCACACACTCTTCTCTTTAATAAAGGTAAAGGGACCCCTGACCATTAGGTCCAGTTGTGGCCGACTCTGGGGTTGTGGCGCTCATCTCGCTTTACTGGCCAAGGGAGCTGACATTTGTCTGCAGACAGTATTTCCAGGTCATGTGGCCAGCATGACTAAGCCGCTTCTGGCGAACCAGAGCAGCGCACTGAAACGCCGTTTACCTTCCTGCCAGAGTGGTACCTATTTATCTACTTGCACTTTGACATGCTTTTGAACTGCTAGGTTGGCAGGAGCTGGGACCGAGCAACAGGAGCTCACCCCGTCGCGGGGATTCGAACCACCGACCTTCAGATCAGCAAGTCCTGGGTTCTGTGGTTTAACCCACAGCGCCACCTGCGCCCCTCTCTTGAATAAAGCAAGCCCCAAATGACCGGGGGTGGGGCGGGGAAAACTGAACAGAAGCTGAATTGACTTCAACCCACCCAGTGATTTACCTGGAAAGGAAATCACGAAAGGAGAGAATTGCGCCATCCATTCAACGCTCCATTCCCCAGCCATCCCCCTTTCTGCCACCCCAGTTGCCTTCCATGTTGGCCTGAGGCAGGAAGGAGAGACGGAAGGGGCTGGGGGCTAGCAGGGCAGATGTGCAAAGGGAGAGCTTAGGCAGGGAGGGAGGAGGGAGCTGAGAGCAGGAACCGGCTGCTGTGACAAACAGCCCAGGCTCCTGGGGGAGCAGGGTGAGGCCTTGCTGGAGGCTGCCCATGGCGTTCATGTGGCAACCCAGCCCCCTGGGGGGTTGGCAGGTGGGCCCCGCTGTGCTCCTGCCTGCTCCTGCCCCTGCCAGGGAAAAACAAGAGATCCGCACAGACAGAGGGCTGGAGAGGAAAGCCTGGAGGAGAAGCAGGGCACCTTCTTTTCAGCCAGGCCTTCCCTGGTTTCGCTCTGCTGGAAGGAGAAGGACCTGGAGCATCCTTTGCCAGTCACACCTGTAAGGAGCTGGCACGTCTGCCCTGGGCAAGATGGCACTGGAGTTTGATGGAATCAAGGTGAGTGCAGAGCGGGGAGGGGGGCTCCCCAACACTTCATGTGTGTACATGCAGACATGTATGCTTCCTTGCTGTCGGCTTCTCTACTAAGATTGTCTGAACTACTTGTCCAGTAGTTGCTGGACTGCAACTACTGCAGACCTTGGTGCCAACCCAAGGAATTACTCTTACAGTTGTTTCTGTAGCGAAAGGTAGTTGCTCCCTTGCCTGTCTCTCCTGCTCCTGCATCCTAGCCACTGCTTCAACGCCCGGCTCCTCCTGCCCTTGGGCTCTGGGTGAGAGTCACAGAGTGTGCACAAAACAATAAACCTTTCTATATAAAATTTCCAGTACATTCAGAAAACATAATAAATCCTTAATTGTCATCCACATTCAATTGTAAGGTAAAAGATATGCGAAGGGACTTGACAGGAAGTCAAAATTGAAGAAAAGATTTTGTAAGATAAAAGGGGGGAGGGAATATTTATTTTCATTATTATTATTTTGTGTGTGTGTGTTTTGTATGGGATGTTTGGGAGGAAATAAGACAGTAAATAACAAATAAAGTATTGATGTACGTAATTTTTATTTCTCAATTGTACAATTGTATTTTGTGGTAGTATGGTGGTAATGTTTTTTGTAATATAAAATCATTCAATAAAAATTATTTAAAAAAGAGAGAGAGAGAGAGAGTCACAGAGGTCCTGCAGCCTTGCTTTTTAGCCATCCTGCACGAAGGCTCCCTCTCCATTGCGCCGCCGTTTACTCTTGGGTGCTAAATGGCCGGCAGCAATGCAAACCCTGCTGCGGCAACAGCTCTGTCTCCTTTGCTATCCCCCACCCAGATAATGCCTCTTGGGCACCCTGCAGGCCTCTCTGGATAGCAGTGGAGGTGCTCCACTCCAGATGCAGCCGTCTTAGCTTTCTTACCTGGGCCTTTTCTGAGTGGCTGTCAGCAAGCCCCCCCCCCCGCCTTCTTCCTCACAAGCAGTTTCCCCAGGGACTCATTTTCAAATCCATTTGGCCCTCCTGTGCCAAGGCAACTGCTTGCGAATTCAATCGGGCGCAGCCAAGAGGGGAAGTGGAAATGGCAAGCAGAAAGCGAGGGACTTAATTACAGAAGAGGTAATGAGCTGGGGCTCTGGGGAGGCAGGGAAACCACCTGGGCCGGGTTGGTTCTTTCCATCGCCTTTTGTGACGCGGGCAATTGCAGCAAATAAACACGGACCCCTTAAGGCATTTTGCCAACCGGGTGCCGATGACACCTGGCTGGCAGGCTGGACATCTGTCCAGAAAAGGTTTGTTCTAAGTGCCATCTGGTGGGAGCCCGATATCTGCAGCACTGCTGGACACAGAGCCGAAAAGGTCTGACTCAAGATGCAGCTGTCAGCATCAGTTTCCCTCGCTGTGAAATCTCCAACCATCTGCTCTCCTCTCCACCCCCTTCCCCACGTTTCCGTCCCTTCTGAGAGCAGTGTTACGATTTTTCATTTCACTTTTAATTTGTATGCTACCGCGGGTGGCGCTGTGGGTTAAACCACAGAGCCTAGGGCTTGCTGATCAGAAGGTTGGCAGTTCAGATCCCTGCGACGGGGTGAGCTCCTGTTGCTCGGTCCCTGCTCCTGCCAACCTAGCAGTTCGAAAGCACGTCAGAGTGCAAGTAGATAAATAGGTACCACTCCGGCGGGAAGGTAAACGGCGTTTCCGTGCACCACTCTGGTTCGCCAGAAGCGGCTTAGTCATGCTGGCCACATTGCCCGGAAGCTGTACGCCGGCTCCCTCAGCCAATAAAGCAAGATGAGCGGTGCAAGCCGAGAGTTGGCCATGAATGGACCTAATGGGCAGGGGTCCCTTTACCTTTACCTAAAGGTGCAGAATGGGCTAGACCACCTCCTTTTTTCCTTGTTTCCTGGGTCAGGACATCCCTCACCCCTCACCCAGCCCCCTGCTCCTGCCTTCATCCCTCAGCCCCTCTACTTCCAGACCTGCTCCTTCCCAGTGTTATGAGAATTATAAGGTCTAAGATATAAAATAAATGTACCAGGTAAATACATACACAAATATATAAACCACATGTCTGACTCAGTACAGGAAAAGTCCTGAAACCATTTTGTCTCTCCCAAATTGACTTCATATGTTTCTCTGCAAGGAGAAAGGAAATGGGAAAACCTCCCCATTGTCTCTTTGCTCATAAATCCTGTCTTAAGGGCGTATCTGTGTATGAATAGGGTGAGCCTGTGACCTGGGTTCAGGAACTGAGTATTTATCGTCACCAAGGAATCGCCAGACTGCCCCAAATAATGCAATCAGTGATCATTCTCAGGTAACCTGGCAGACAGGTTTTCTGCTGTAGACCGCCTCTTCTGTGATGTATGTATGATGTATTGGGGGGTGGGTAGTCTTGAGCTAAAAATCTTTCACTATTCAGTAGAGTGTTGACTATAAAGATGACTGTATTACCAAGAATGTTATTTTTGTTTCAATCGATTCCAGTGATTGGCAAGACAGTTTGTTTCAATGCATGGCAAAAAGATATTTCTTAATATATTTGGCAAGGGGAAAAACCGAGAATAAAAAATGTAATATTGATAGATGCAAAAGAAAGAGGAGGTTTTTCCCTGTCTTTGTTGGTTGAAGGAATAGATAACATTAGAGAATTCACATATTCTATATATTTAAAGAAGATGAAATAAATGAGCAAATTAAGTTAATTTGGATATGCAGAAGATATTAAAAATAAATTTAAGAAACCGCAGAATCAGGGTGAAGGAAGTTAAGTTTTGAAATGTCAAAATGATTGTAAAATTAGTGAAATGTATAAAATTAGTGAAATGTATAAACTTGAAAAGTATAAATAAATAAACAGGGAAAAAGAGATTGACCCTTGCTGTCTTTCCTTTTTTTTAAAAAAGATTTTTATTAAGGTTTTCAAAATATTACAAAAAGAAAAAAGAAAAAGAAAAAATACAAAGTAAAAACAGTTAAAAACAATTCAATCTTTCGGTGTCTTATCTTTCATTTGCCTGTTCCCCGGACCTCCTCACACCTCCCTTTTTTGTATCCAATTCAATTAGTTGGTTCAGCAAATCTTTTCCCTCTTTGTTTTTATCCTAATCTTTTAGTCTTAATATATTATAACTTTAAATTATCACCTGTTAACAATCCATTTTTGCACATCTTTTTAACATTACTGCTGAAAACCACTTAACTTCAATCCAACATCATTCTAACATTCATTAATTTTGCAGTATTTCTGTAAATAGTCTTTAAATTTCTTCCAATCTTCTTCCACCGACTCTTCTCCCTGGTCTCGGATTCTGCCGGTCATTTCCGCCAGTTCCATATAGTCCATCACCTTCATCTGCCATTCTTCCAGGGTGGGTAGATCTTGCGTCTTCCAATACTTTGCGATAAGTATTCTTGCTGCTGTTGTGGCATACATAAAGAAAGTTCTATCCTTCTTTGGCACCAATTGGCCGACCATGCCCAGGAGAAAGGCCTCTGGTTTCTTCAGGAAGGTATATTTAAATACCTTTTTCATTTCATTATATATCATCTCCCAGAAAGCCTTAATCCTTGGGCACGTCCACCAAAGGTGAAAGAATGTACCTTTAGTTTCTTTACATTTCCAACATTTATTATCGGGCAAATGATAGATTTTTGCAAGCTTGACTGGTGTCATGTACCACCTGTATATCATTTTCATAATATTCTCTCTTAAGGCATTACATGCCGTAAACTTCATACCTGTGGTCCATAACTGTTCCCAGTCAGCCATCATAATGTTATGTCCAACATCTTGTGCCCACTTAATCATAGCAGATTTCACCGTTTCATCCTGAGTATTCCATTTCAACAGCAAGTTATACATCCTTGACAAAGTCTTAGTTTTGGGATCTAACAGTTCTGTTTCCAATTTTGATTTTTCCACCTGGAATCCAATTTTCTTGTCCAAATTATATGCCTCCATTATTTGATAATCTCGCACTTTGTTTTTTAGTTTTTCAAAACTCTGCAATTTCAATTTATCTCCCTCTTGTTCCAAAATTTCCCAATATTTCGGCCATTTGGCCTCCATATTGAGCTTTTTCTGAGCCTTCGCTTCCATCGGTGACAACCACCTTGGGGTTTTATTTTCAAGTAAATCCTTATATCTTATCCAGACATTAAACAATGCTTTCCTGACAATATGGTTTTTAAATGCTTTATGTGCTTTGACCTTATCATACCATAAATATGCATGCCATCCAAATACATTATTAAAACCTTCTAAATCCAAGATGTCTGTGTTTTCAAGAAGCAGCCATTCTTTCAACCAGCAGAAAGCTGCTGATTCATAATAAAGTTTAAGGTCTGGCAGGGCAAATCCTCCTCTTTCCTTTGCGTCCGTTAGTATTTTAAATTTTATTCTAGGCTTCTTGCCCTGCCAGACAAATCTAGAAATGTCTCTCTGCCACTTCTTGAAACAATCCATTTTGTCCAAAATTTGCAATGTTTGAAACAGAAATAACATTCTTGGCAATACATTCATCTTTATCGCAGCAATGCGGCCTAACAGTGAAAGCTTCAAGTTTGACCAAATTTCTAAATCTTTTTTCACTTCCATCCAGCATTTTTCATAGTTGTCTTTAAATAAGTTCCCATTTTTAGCTGTCATGTTAATCCCCAGGTATTTCACTTTCTTAACCACTGTTAAACCTGTCTCATTCTGAAACCTCTCTCTCAATCGCTGTTAAATTTTTCTCTAAAACCTTTGTTTTTAACTTATTCAGCTTAAATCCTGCAACCTGACCAAATTCTTGAATCAGTTCCAAAACTCTTTTAGTACTAGATTCTGGCTGACCCTTGTTGTCTTTCCATCCACCCCATAAGCAACCCGATTGGAAAGAAATCGTGAACAAGAAGTTGAAGTTCCCGGAAGGCCTCCTCAACGCCATCCAAGACGGGCAGCTGATGAAGGTCCAGCAGCTGCTGCAGGTGAGTGACGGGATCCTGAGGCAGCTGGATGAGGCCGAGGACCGGGCGTGGCGAGAGGCTCTCAACCTGGCCATCCGCACGGGCGGCGAGGAGATCACCAAGACGCTGCTGCGCATTGTCAAGTTTGACTTCCGCCAGATCCACGAGGCCTTGCTGGTTGCCGTGGATACCAACCAGCCCACCGTGGTCAAGCTGCTGCTGGACCGCCTGGACCAGGAGAAAGGCCGCAAGATGGACATCAAGTCCTTCTCCTCGGCCTTGTTTGACAACTCCATCGACAACTCCCGCTTCGCCCCGGGCGTGACGCCCCTCACCTTGGCTTGCGAGAAGGACCTCTACGAAATCGTGGACATGCTGATGAAGAAGGGCCACGCCATCCCGGGGCCACACAAGGTCTCGTGTTCCTGCCTGGAGTGCTCCAACGGCCGCAAGTTTGACCTGCTCAAGTTCTCGCTTTCTCGCATCAACACTTACAAGGGCATCGCCAGCCGGGCGCACCTCTCCATCGCCAGCGAAGACGCCATGTTGACGGCCTTCAAGCTCAGCCGAGAGCTCAAGCGCCTCTCCAAGAAGGAGCCCGAATTCAAGGTCTGTCTCTGGCCGCACCCACCATGTAGGTGTCAGGGACTGGACTGAGGAGGAATGGTGGGAGCCTCCCCCCCCCGAACCTTCCCAAGGGCAGGAGGAAAGTATTGATTTAGAACAGCGGTTTGCAGAGGGGCATAGTCCAGAGGGGGAAAGCTGGGAAATACTGGGTGAGGAACAGCTAGGAGAGGAAACACCAGGAGAGAGACAGCTGGCAGATTCAGTGTCTTTGGATGGCATTCCTGACCCCCCTTCGCCCACGACTAGACGGGCTTTGAGAGTGATAGAACAGAGAGCGCAGTGGCAACAAACTCAGATTACCCAATGTTGGAGTGATCTAGATTAATGTGGACTGAGGGGGTAAACCTTTTACTGGGAGCAACGCCATTTCTAGAAAGATATGCCTTCCTTTGTCACTTGCTGTGATTATTAAATACCATAGATTCTGGCCAAAACAAAAAAAAATCCTTCCAGTAGCACCTTAAAGACCAACTAAGTTAGTTCTTGGTATGAGCTTTCGTGTGCATGCACACTTCTTCAGATACAGATGTGTATCTGAAGAAGTGTGCATGCACACGAAAGCTCATACCAAGAACTAACTTAGTTGGTCTTTAAGGTGCTACTGGAAGGAATTTTTTTTGTTTTGACTATGGCAGACCAACACGGCTACCTATCTGTAACATAGATTCTGGCGTATAAGACGACTTTTTTACCCTGGAAAATCCTCTAAAAAGTCGGGGGTCGTCTTATATGCCGGGTATGGGTTCACTGGGCAGCAGCAGCGGACGGTGGGATCCATGCCGGGAGGAAGCTGTCCAGCGAAGCTGGCTTAGCATCGCATAAGACTGGGCGTATAAGTCGACCCCCCCAATTGGCAGCTGCCAATCCGTTGTTACGATATAGAAGCAATGCAGCTGCGAGCTGCTAGCTTGAAAACATCACATGATGTTGGGACTGTCCATGGGAAACAGAGGGACAGTCAATTCACAGTGCGAAGCACCGGAATTAGCTCAGAGTGTAATATGACCTGTACAGGAAGTACAGGAAGTGTTTGTCACTCGACTGCTGGAGTTTGAAGAGAGCAGTCATGTTTTTTGTAACGCTGCAAAGACAGAAATAAAGGCATGTAAATACGTTTCTGTCTATCTCTTTCCCCTGCCGGGGGGCAAGAAAGGGGGGGGTGTTCTTCTCACACTGAGAAGGATCGCCTATCGCGACCTAGCCTGGATCTTGCTGAGGAATGCAGACAGGGAGGTCAACAGGAGATCAAGCCGGGTGCCTGGAGAGTTGCCAGCTTCTACTTATATAGGCTTGAATCCCGACATCCGGGGGGTCGTTTTATACACCCAGTCACCTAATACGCCAGAATCTATGGTAAATTGGTAAGAATGCTCTTTTCGTTTGATCTGCTTATTTACTGCCACCAAGGGAGGGATCCGGTTCCCCGAAGCCTGACAGTAGGTCAAGGTGGGGAACATCTACGGCCCTCCAGGTACTGGTGGACCACAACTCCCACCATCCCTGAACATTGGCCATGTGGGCTGGGAGTCCAACAACATCTGGAAGGCCACTGGTTGTTCCTCAGCCCTGACACTGACGTTGTTTTTTAATTCCACAATATTCACATCACAAGCCTAATTCTTTTTAGAGGAAGGAGTTGGGGTTTGGGAGTCCATGTAGACCATGCTATGCATCTGGGCAATTCAGATTCTGCACACAGAAAAGCCGTTCTCTTCAGAATTGGGCTGGGCCCTTGTGCTGCCCTTCTGAGCCAGACCCTTCCTTCCTTGATTCTGCCTTGTCCTCCCATCCAGCCCGAGTACCTGGCCCTGGAGCAGCTGTGCCAGGAGTTTGCCTTTGAGCTGCTGGGAATGTGCCGCAACCAGAGCGAGGTGACGGCCGTCTTGAATGATGTGGCGGATTCCTCGAATGACGAGGAAGAGGAGGACTTCGATGACCAGGCCTTTGAGGAGGGGATCCCCAACTTGGCAAGGCTTCGCCTGGCTGTCAACTACAACCAGAAGCGGGTGAGCTTGTCAGAGGAACATGGTCTGGGGGTAGAAGGGAGCAGTGCCGGATTTAAGGCAGTGTGGGCCGTTCTCCTGCACAGGGCGGTGAGCCAAGGGGGTACAAAACTATGGCGTAGCACACTTGAGAGTATGCGCAGAACGGAGAGGGGCGAGGGTGCCGAATTTTGTCCTCAGGGCACCATATTACCAAAGTCTGCTGCTGGTGGAAGGAAGGTCTTGCGGTGGGCAGGGGGTCCCACAATGGCCAGCAGCATTTTCCGTTGTCAAAGATGTCGTGGCACTTGCGTTCTGGTTGTGGACTTCCCTTTGGGGGCACCCTTTGTTTGGCCACTATGAGAACAGAATGCTGGACTGGATGGGCCATCGACCTGATCCAGGAGAGGTTGCCGAAATGTACGGAATCAGGTTTGAGAGAGCTGTTGCTTGTAAGCTCCTCATGGTTTCCTAGCCTCATCTGGTTGGCCACAGTGGAGAAGTCTTCAGAAACCGCCCCAAGCACCTTTAAGACCCCAGTATATCTATCTTTCTTGCCTTTCATAAACCAACAACCTTATTCAAAAGTCCATCCTGCCTCTTGTGTTGGTGTCCATCTCACACTTATACTGGCCATATACAGTGGTACCTTGGTTCACGAACTTAATCCGTTCCAGAAGTCCGTTCTTAAACCAAAATTGTTCTTAAACTGAGCTGCGCTTTCCCTAATGAGACTTCCCACCGCCGGTGCCCTTCCACCGTTCGGATTCCATTCTTAGACCGAGGTAAAATTCGCAAACCGGGACACTACTTCCGGTTTTGCGGAGTTCATAAACCAAATCGTTCGTAAACAGGGCTGTTCTTAAGCTGAGGTACCACTGTAAACCTTTAAGGGTTTTTCAGAGCCATTCTTAATGAGACCCTAAACAGCAATGGAAAAGCTGAGGAAGCGCAGATCCCTACAGCTGTCTTTTTGCCAAGTGAGGCTGAGGGAGATTGGGGGCGGAGAGGTATACTTGACAGTCACTTTGGGGGAGGTAGTCCTGAGACCACCAGTCAGGCCTTTGCTCTTTGGTCAGGTCAGCAATCTTTTTCAGCCGTGGGCCGGTCCACTGTCCCTCAGACCTTGTGGGGGGCCGGACTATATTTTGAAAGAAAAAAAAATATGAACGAATTCCTATGCCCCACAAATAACCCAGAGATGCATTTTAAATAAAAGGACACATTCTACTCATGTAGAAACACGCTGATTCCCGGACCGTCCTCTGGCCGGATTGAGAAGGTGATTGGGCCAAATCCAGCCCCCGGGCCTTAGGTTGCCTACCCCTGGCTTTGAACCAGGAGAGACCTTTTCATCTTATTTCTGTCATGAATTCTACTCAGTATTGATCCAGAGCAGAACTCCAATGTATAGTTAGCAGAGTAAAAACTTTAACACGTTGCAGGATTACCAAAAAATAGACCAGAGGCAATTATATTTCTTCCAGCAGAGCTTTACTGCTACTGAAGGCAGATGAGCATAATGGTCCCAAATTCAATACATTCAGGATTGGCACTGTCCATAAGAAATCCAGTTGCAGCAGACTTAACTTAAACTTACAATAACTTATAATAAGATACTAAAATTTAACACTAAGCATACTGTGTACAGAATAGCACACCGGAAGGAAAAGAGATAGAAAGAAAAAGTGAAACCCAGGCTCCTTCTGGCCTTATTTTTATAGTCAGCATCACCTTCACAGAATAGGTAAGAGAACCAGTTTAAGCCTGCTGTACTCACAGCTTCTCTGAAGGAATAACCCAAACACAATGAACCTTCTGCTTGTTTCTTTCACACAGAGAAGCTGCCAGAACCCTCTTGAATTAATTAGTATAGGCCAGTTCTGCAGAACTGGCAAAAATGACAGACAGACTACAAGAAAAAGACAACAGTGACTTTGAAAAAGAATGGGAACCATTTATATTATATTTGCAGAAACAAAGAAAGTCTATAGACTTGATGGCAGGATTTAAATAAACATTCACATCATTAGTATTAGAAAATGTGTAGAAGATAGAGAAACAATATGGTGTACTTATTTTCATCTTTATGTTTTTAGGTTAGATGTTATTGTATAAATATGTTATTAGTAATTTTTCTTTTAGGAGGGAGCAAAGTGGGTGAAAAAAATCAGAAGCGGAAGTTGGGGGAAGCCTAGGAGGAGTGGGAGGGAGGAATGCATAGCAAATGTCATGGATATGAGATGTATGTAATGAATGAAAAAGGAAATTGAATAATAAAAAAAGAATTAATTAGAATAGGAAAGATCTCTGCACATCAGATCAATACTTTCTGCAGTAAGAAATGCAATCTGACAATTCCCCTCCCCGCAGTTTGTCGCCCACCCCATCTGCCAGCAAGTGCTGTCGTCCATCTGGTGCGGGAGCCTTCAGAGCTGGAGAGGCAGCACCTCGCTCTGGAAGGTCTTCGTCTCCTGTTCCATCTTCATGGGGATGCCTTTCCTGTGCCTCGTCTACTACGTGGCCCCCAAATCCAAGGTGAGGGGTTCGTGGCCGGGCTCCTTTCCGGCCTCGACAACAGACAGATCAGCTTTATTATTTATACCCCGCCCATCTGGCTGGGTTTCCCCAGCCAATCTGGGCGGCTTCCAACAAAAGATTAAAATACATTAAAATTAAAAATACATTAAAATTTAGACTACAATTCCCAAAACACCTAGGGGCATCAGCTTTTGGGGGGGGGCTGATGTACGACCATGTTGTGTGTGCCCCCTCTTTAAAACACTCTGTGCAATTCACTGTGTGTGATCTCATTCCTCCTCAGTTTGGCAAAATGCTGAAGATCCCAGTGATCAAGTTCCTTCTGCATTCGGCCTCGTATGTCTGGTTCCTGGTCTTCCTGCTGGCAGAGTCCCTGGTGCTGGAGCACAACAGCGAGACCTTTTCGGGGCGGAACCAGGACATGTGGGAGACGTCGCTGCACATGATATGGGTGGCAGGTCTGTGTGGCCCAGGTCAGACAGGCAGGGGAGGGTGGGGATGTGGGCAGGAGATAATTCTCCACTACCACCTTGAGGGCAACCCGGTGTTAGAATTCCTGCTCCATGATTGCAGTCATGGGATTGTTGTCTATCACATGTCTGTATATGTTTTGACTCCACAGAGTGGGAAGTGATGGAGACAGGATGTTTGTGTCACTGTGTTCCATGAAGTAGAACTATTGTCCTTTGTCTCTTTGCTGTCTGATGCTAGAGAGAGAGGTAGCCATGTTGCAGTGCTCTGTGTATGTTTATATGTAAATAAAGTAGATTAGCCAAAATGCTGAGTTGCTGAGGTCTGTTACGCAAGCTGTGAAGACTCTGCGGATCCCTAAGTGTGCCGGTGTCGGTTGGCATCGGTCGCTGTGATGTTCGGGCTGAAGAAAGCTTATAAAGCTCCCGAACAATCAACCAGGAGGGAGGGAGCATACCAGTTAGGCATGTGTCTCTGCCAGGGTCCTACCCGAGTGTAGGACGAGCTCCTGACACCCGGATCCCTCAGTCCCACACTCTGTGTGGGCTATTATGTGTCGTCCGGGTAAAGATCTCCGCTTAAAAGAGCCAGTGTGGTGTAGTGGTTAAAAGCGGTAGACTCATAATCTGGTGAACCGGGTTCGCGTCTCCGCTCCTCCACATGCAGCTGCTGGGTGACCTTGGTCTAGTCACACTTCTCTGAAGTCTCTCAGCCCCACGAACCTCACAGAGTGTTTGTTGTGGGGGAGGAAGGGAAAGGAGATTGTTAGCCGCTTTGAGACTCCTTAGGGTAGTGATAAAGCGGGATATCAAATCCAAATTCCTCCTCCTCCTCCTCCTCCTCCTCCTCTTCTTCTTCTTGTAAAAGGAAAGAGTTCAGCAGGCACTGAAAAAAACAATAGAAATGGCACCTGCCTGATGTGTGTCAGGTTCAAGTTGCAGAGGATAGGTCACCACACTAAAGACCCAATTCCTGTATGCCACGGATGTCCAACTCCCAAGAGACAGCAATCTACTCCCAGAATAAAAAACTTGTAGGGGGGCGCCAAGGTTATTTTGCTTTGGAGGGCGGGGGCTAGGCCATAAATTGCTCACAAGAAAATAAAGCACGCAGCGATAACTTTGTCTTCTGTTTTTGCAATCGTGCGCGAATGAAGGACAGAGCGAGGGGGTAGGGCCGGATGTCCGCCTCCCCCCCCCCCACGGAGGAAAATGAGCCTGCGATCGACCACTATCATCCGGGGATCAACCTGTCGATCGCTTTCGACCGGTTGGACATCCCTTCTGTATGCCACACAGAACAGACCAGCTGATGAATATTATTTTAAAAGCCACAGATTAACAAGCTATGGTTTATAGGCCAACAAAAAATAACTTCACATTGTGGTTTGCTGCCAGGAAACAAGTCATGGATTGGGCTGGGTTCCCACATTCAGGGCTGGGTATTCCCATTCAGACACACCATCGTTAGTCTGAAGAAGCCGTGACCTTAGCCTTATGGGCAAACAGAGACAAAGAGGGTAAGCTTAAGTGGAGAAAAAGAGATTGAGAAGAGGCATCAGAGGTTGACAGATTTTCTGCCCCTGGCAGTCGTCTCAGCTGGTTGATGGAGTTCTGGCCAAGTCAGGGACACCAGCTCACATACCACTGGGACCACTTCCAGATTCAAGAAACAGAGTCAGGTCAGGTTCCAGCAGGGCAAAGTCAGACCAAGCAGAGTGTCGTCCCAAATAAGCAATATCAGGAAAGGCAGAGGTCAAAACCAAAAAGGCAAAGAAGCAAGGTAGGTTGCCCTCTGGATAGTTTTCGGGGGAGCCTAGGTTGCAAGTTGGACAAGGCAGGCTTGAATGTTGCTTCAGCAGCTGGACAACCCAGGTGGAGCCTCAAAGAGGACGGCAGCTTCCTCTGAGCAACCATCCCTGATGGGCAAAGCTTCCGAAAAAGACACAGTCTGTTTTAGGAGCTCTTGAGGCTGGGTGTCCACTATGGTCTCCTCTTCAGGCCAGGGAGGGGCTGGCATCACAGACCACCTGATGCTGCAACTTCTGAGGAGCCCGAGATGTCAAAAGACTAGCTCCCAGGATACACACTCCTCCTCGTGGCCCGAGATGTCCCTTGAACCCATGGCCTCTTCCCCCAAGGATGGGGATCCAGAGCCCTGGGCCGTGGCAAGGACCAGCCAAGGTTGCCCCTCCTCCAGCTGTGCCCAGTGGTGGGTTTTGATCCCCTGTGCTTTCCTCCTCCAGGTTTCTTCTGGTTTGAGTGCAAAGAGGTTTGGATCGAGGGCTTCCGCAGCTACCTCTTGGACTGGTGGAACTTCCTGGACATCGTCATGCTCAGCATGTACCTGGCCTCCTTTGTCCTCAGGCTCCTGATATTCTTCCAGGGCCGTGTTTTCTGTCTGGATAACAAGGAGTCTGCAGAATGCCGTTACTACACGAAAGCGGGTGAGCACCTCCCACAAGCTGGGATCTCGTTCCTTCTTCTGTGTTGGGCACCATAGGTGCATCGGCTTGTGAGTTCGATAGAAAATAGATAGATAGATAGATAGATAGATAGATAGATAGATAGAGAGAGAGAGATAGATAATACCTGGCTTTCTCTCTGACATGGTCTGGAGGCAGGGAGGCGCTGAGTGCAAAAGCACTTTGCCTGTTGGTAACCCTCCAACGCCGCCATTAAGAAGCAGTGGTTCTTCTGTTCATTAAGAATTTAATTAGGATTAATGTACAGACACATGCTGGTAATGATGGGACAAGATCAAAAACCGCTGAATTGAAAAGCTACAAGGCTGTACAGATTTAAATCGGAAAGAAGACTTCATTTGATCTAAAGGATGGTATGTGTGTGTGTGTGTGTGTGTGTGTGGGAGCCAATGGCTTTATTAATGACTTGGCAACCCCCTGAGAATACTACTTTGTTGTTGTTGTTTAGTCCTTTAGTCATGTCCGACCCTTGGTGACCCCATGGACCAGAGCACGCCAGGCACTCCTGTCTTCCACTGCCTCCTGCAGTTTGGTCAAACTCATGCTGGTAGCTTTGAGAACGCTGTCCCACCATCTCATCCTCTGTCGTTCCCTTCTCCTTGTGCCCTCCATCTTTCCCAACATCAGGGTCTTTTCTAAGGGATTTTATCAAGACTGGATTGTAATTGGACTGAGCAATAGTTTGGAAGCAGAATTAAAGGGAATTAGTGGACCTTGAAGCCCAGCGCACGAGGGGCCACGTAAATTTTATAATTGGCTATGTGGTTGATTTGTATTTGAATTGGCATTGTAATTTGGTTAATTGAAAATGAATAAAAATTATTTAATATAATAATAATAAATGGACTGGGGCTGATGGGAGATCAGATTGTCTGGAGGGTCCCAGCTTGCAGAAGAGAGTCTTTGGAGTGTAAAGGCTTCAGACATGGGTACAGGGAAGGGCTGTGACCGACATAAACCTTGCCCCATGGAGAAGCGGTCTTGCATAATGTGCGCCACACCCCCAGCACAGATGCCCCTTGCTTCTCTCTGACCCTTCCTCCCCTTTCTGACCCAGAGCGTCAGGAGTGGCACACTGAAGACCCCCAGTTCATCGCTGAGGTGCTCTTTGCCGTGACCAGCATGCTGAGCTTCACCCGCCTGGCTTCCATCTTGCCCGCCCACGAAACCTTGGGGACCCTGCAGATCTCCATTGGCAAGATGATTGACGACATGATCAGGTTTTTTTGGGGGGGTGGGGTGGTGGAATCAAGCTCTTTCCCTGCCATCATCCTTGTTGGCTCTGCAGTGCACTGACCCTTCTCTCCCTCTCAGTGAATCCCATGTCTCCCAAGTCTCTGGGGCATCACATTTGGCCCCTGAATGCAGTCCCGATATAGGACATGACTAGTTTGAAGCAAGGGACGCGGGTGGTACTGTGGGTAAAACCTCAGCCCCTAGGACTTGCCGATCGAAAGGTCGGCGGTTCGAATCCCCGCGGCGGGGTGCGCTCTCGTTGCTCGGTCCCAGCGCCTGCCAACCTAGCAGTTTGAAAGCACCCCCGGGTGCAAGTAGATAAATAGGGACCGCTTACCAGCGGGAAGGTAAACGGCGTTCCGTGTGCTGCGCTGGCTCGCCAGATGCAGCTTGTCACGCTGGCCACGTGACCCGGAAGTGTCTCCGGACAGCGCTGGCTCCCGGCCTCTTGAGTGAGATGGGCGCACAACCCTAGAGTCTGGCAAGACTGGCCCGTACGGGCAGGGGTACCTTTACCTTTACCTTTTAGTTTGAAGCAGAGACCTGTTTTGGCAAGGAGACCAGAGTAGCAAGCTCAAGCCCAGCTGGCAGGAATGGGGCAGCAGCCTGTGTCTGTGTCATGAGATAGTTGTCCTGAATGACTCAGATGACCCCAAATATATGATAGACCACCTCCTTCCCTACCATTAAGATGGGCAGAAAGGCCACTCTTGGTAGTTCCAGTGCCCTCAGAAGTTTGGCAGCCTGGGAGAGGGCTTTATCTGGGGCAGAATCTACCCCAGGGAATTCCTTCCCCATGGAGGTGTGTCTAGTATCCTCATTGAATAGCTTCTATCATATGCTAAAGGCACACCTCTTCACCTGGGCCGTGGACACCCGAGATATATATTTTAAACCCACTCTTCTTGACTTTGTTTTAGATGGTGTTAGGTCTTTTTATTAGCTTTTTGGGTTCCTTGTGTTTCTTCCCCTCTCTAGGTTCATGTTCATCATGATGATCATCTTGACTGCTTTCTTGTGTGGGATGAACAACATCTACGTCCACTACCAAGAGTCTGAAAAGCTGGGGAGGTACGCCAACCTGCTTGTACTTTCTACAGAAAGCACAATCAGCTCACACGAAATCAATATACAGTCACACCTTGGAAGTCAAACAACTTAGTTCCCAGATGTTTTGGCTCCCGAACACCGTAAATCCAGAAGTGACTGTTCCGGTTTGCAAACTATTTTTGGAAGCCGAACATCCAACGGGGCTTCTGTGGCTTCCGATTGGCTGCAGGAGATTCCTGCAGCCAATCAGAAGCCACGGTTTGGTTTTCGAATGTTTTGGAAGTCCAATGGACTTCCGGAATGGATTCCGTTTGATTTCCACGGTACGACTGTAGTACGAAAAACAAGGTTGGCTGCAGTCCTTCTTTTTTTGGTCTCAGGAGAAAATCCAAAAACAAATGTCAGTGGCACCACCATGTGCAAATCGCAAAACTTTGCCAGAGGCAATTGGTGAATCACCTGTGGGTGTCCCCCAGGCTATTAGTATTTTTCAAGAAGGATTCGAGCGTGTGCTGGAACTTTAGGTTTGCAGAATTAAAATGAACTCAGGAGCTCTGTTGTTCTAGTGCGACAAATCCACAGTCTGGAATGTGATAGCAGAATGCATTGAATCATGTGGGATGAATGAATGATTAACAGGAAGACATGTAAACATCCCACAAGCAAATTGAGATGCTCATTCTCCTATAAGCATGCCATAATCAACAAATAAAAAGGAACGCTCAGCAAAGACTGGATATAATCAAACATCCGCATAAGCTTTGAGCAAGTAGATCAGGATGCACGTTGAATAAATATTGAATAAAGAGGTTTTCTGAACGTTATAAGAAAAAACCTGCTGCTTTTCCCTTATGGGGTTCCCGAGAGCCCATATAGAGTCCTTTGCAGGTTCTCTATCAGTAGGAGAAAATAACAGAGGCCAACCAGAGAATACTGAGAAGCAAAGCAGCTCATAAGCCTGATCTTTATTGATCTGTTGCAACAGGGTGCTCCCCTCACACACACAGGAGGGAGGAGGAACCCAGAACAAAGGTGTGCCTGCCCTTATATATTTTAAATTCCCTGCCCTGGAGTTCAAGACCACCCCTCCATACATCATACATACATCCCAGAAGGGGTGTAGCCCAAGACCACCCCCCAGATACATCATACCTACATCACAGAAAAGGTGGTCTACAACAGAAATTTGAACGTTGTTGTTTTTCCTGTCTGGCAGGTTTTCTGATAATGCCTTATCTGATTGCCTTTCCTGATAGTCTGTCACCCTTTGAAATGGTGATTACTCAATTCCTGAGACAATGGGAAGGCTCCCTGAGCCCCTCCCTCCTTGCAGAGAAAACATTTGGTCAGTTTGGGAGTCAAATTGGTTTCAGGTCGGTCTTCCTGTGCTGATCTATGTACGTGCTTGGTTGGTACATTTATGAACATTAATTATATATCTAAGACCTTAAAATTATTATCACAATATAAATGCAGCAAACAAACAACGCTGTAGGGAGGAGTCACCCTCCCCCTGCCCCAGCTGTTTCAGCTTGCTATCCCTTCTCCCCTGCAGCTTCAACGAGACATTCCAGTTCCTCTTCTGGACCATGCTTGGGATGGAAGACCACGATGTGGTGGACATGCCCCGGTTCCTCATGGCACAGCTGGTGGGGAGGGTGCTGTATGGGGTCTTCACCATCGTCATGGTGGTCGTCCTCCTCAACATGCTCATTGCCATGATCACCAACTGCTTCCAGAAAATTGAGGTGAGTGCTGCTGCCGGGCGTGGGGGAGGGGATCGAGAGGTGGCCTTTAAGGTGCACTGGAACGGGACTGGGGTGTACAAAGGGACAGGCGAATGCCCCACTCCATACACACCAGGGACTTGCCACTAGGGTTGTAAGGAGGCTATGATTTCTCTCCTCTTCTGCATTTGTCAAAATTAGTTCTGTTCCGCTACAGTTCAGCTTCCACTAAACCCTGTGCTATTCATCCTGCTATCTGCTGTGGCTGAAACTTACATTCCTTCATTATTTAATATATTTCAAAGGAAGGGAAGCGTCAGTGCGGTAAATTATTATGCCTGTAACATTTTCAGGCTACTGACAGGTATGCGAACGGCAAGGATTTCCATTTTTGATGGAATTCTCCAAACTTCTCTAATTGCATATCCACCATCAGTCCCCAAATGGATAATGCACAACGGCCCTTTCCTGCTATTAGTCAGACTTGGTATAAGTTAAAGTAAAGGTAAAGGGACTCCTGACCGTTAGGTCCAGTCGTGACTGACTCGGGGGTTGCAGCACTCATCTCGCTTTATTGGCCAAGGGAGCCGGCATACAGCTTCTGGCTCATGTGGCCAGCATGACTAAGCCGCTTCTGGCGAACCAGAGCAGCGCACGGAAACGCCATTTACCTTCCCGCCAGAGCAGTACCTATTTATCTACCTGCACTTTGACGTGCTTTCGAACTGCTTGGTTGGCAGGAGCTGGGACCGAGCAATGGGAGTTCACCCCGTCGCAGGGATTCGAACGCCGACCTTCTGATCGGCAAGCCCTAGGCTCTGTGGTTTAGACCACAGCGCCACCTGGTATAAGTTAGGGTTGCCATATTTCCAAAAGTGAAAAATCTGGACACAAAAAAAATCACACACACAAAAATGAAGTTTTGAGTTATTTTTAAGGAAGTACGCCAAAATCTACACTTCCAGCATGGGTTGCCATATGTACGGATTTCCCCAGGCTTTTCAGTGATTTCTACCCGAATCCTAGCTATGTATGCCACCCCTAGTATACATCATCTTCAGCCATTCCTGGACTGGGCCAGCCTAACCACGGTAGTCCTTGCATTGGTGACCTGAAGACTTGGTTACTGAAACACACTTTCCATGGGGCTGCCCCTGTGTTGGGTCCAGAAGCTTCAACACGTGCAAATTGCAGCAGCCAGACTGCTTACAGGAGCCGATCGCTGGCAACGTGCTACTCCACTGCTGAGAGAGCCAGGCCGATTGTCAATTTGCTACTGGGCCAGTTTCAAAGTACTTGCGTTAGTTCACAAAGCCCTAAACAACTTGGGCCAAAAATGGCTTTAGACTGATTCAATATTCTCCACTGAGATCACTGCTATCCTCTGATGTGTTTGATGGTTCCCTGTAACCCTCTGACATTTGGTTGGCCATCACTTTGGTGCCCTGTGGAACTCCCTGCCAGTAGAGGTTCACCAGAAACCATCCGTGCTATATTTCAGATGTTTTTGGTTTTTGGAAAACTATATAGTTTAGGCAGGCCTTTGTAATTCAGGAACCAATCAGCATTTACTGATATTGTTAGTTATATTTTTAGGGATACCTTAGCTTCTTCTATTCTCATATTCATATGGGCGAGCACTGTCTTGTTTCTTGATAGTTCTAGTGATCTTCTGTAAGGTCCTCTGGGGGACTTTTTGCGGGGCTGAAGAGCAGGGCAAAGATGCTCTAGATAAATAAAGAGCTCCCCTCGTATTTACTGGAGTCTTCCTTGCCGCCTCTTCTCTCCTGTGCTCTTCAGAACGATGCCGACGTGGAATGGAAGTTTGCCCGCTCCAAGCTCTACTTGTCTTTCTTCAGAGAAGGCTTGACGCTGCCAGTGCCCTTCAACATCATCCCGTCACCAAAGTCCATCTTCTACGCCGTCAGGTAATTTGTCAGGCTGCTCCTGAGACCCTTGAGGTGGGGAGACTCTGATAGTTCTGGGTTAAACTTAGCCCTCGGCAGCAGAGGATTGGTTTACTTTATGGACTGGCATGTTCTATACATGCCCCCTCTCTGCAGAACTGTTGCTTTTATAAGCACAATGCCCCCATCGTTCTGCCTGGACACTGAGGTCCAGCGCCGAGGGCCTTCTGGCGGTTCCCTCGCTGCGAGAAGCCAAGTCACAGGGAACCAGGCAGAGGGCCCTCTCAGTAGTGGCACCTGCCCTGTGGAACACCCTCCCAACAGATGTCAAAGAAATAAACAGCTAGCAGACTTTTAGAAGACATCTGAAGGCAGCACTGTTTAGGGAAGCTTTTAATGTTTAATAGACTATTGTATTTTAATATTCTGTTGGAAGCCGCCCAGAGTGGCTGGGGAAACCCAGTCAGATGTGCAGGGTATAAGTAATAAATGATGATGATGATGATTCTGCATTTGCCGGGACCCAGTCCTTGAATGTGACAGCCCATAATAGCAGGGCACCATCATTGCATTATTTTTGGAACCCACCCCAAACTTATTTTTCCCTAGGCAAGCCTATTCAGTCATCTTATTTTAAAATGAACTTTTATTATGTGTAATGCTTTCAAGATCCTATGCCCTTTTAAAATGCGTTTTTTTTGGGGGGGCATATCGGGTTACTGTTTTTATTTTTATTAGGTATTTTGTGGTTTTGTATCTTGATTTTATTCTGTCATCCAACCTAAGACCCCCAGGCATAGGGAGGTATATAAATTCAATAAATCAATAAATCAATAAAAAGATTTCTGATTTTGTTTATATTTTGATGCTGAGTATGTTTTCAATCCTGGCTGCTATTGAAATATCTTGATGAATAGTTTCTCTTTTGCAAAACAGGATATATTTCCCCCCCAAATAAACAGTATGTAAATTTTGTTAATTTATTATTATTAATAATAATAAATATTACAGTCAGCCTTGTTCACGGGCCTCTCGGCTCACCTCTTTCTTTCCCCATCTTCTCCCAGGGGCCTCTTCCGCTTCCTGTGCTGTTACAAACCAAAGCGCCAGCAGAAATACCCCCCCATCTCAACCATTGTAAGTTCCCTTTGGGGCTGTTTCAAGGGGGTGTTCCTTGCACTGAGGACTCTGCTTGCAGTGGGCTGCTGTGCTCCCTTCCTCAACTTTTGGGGAGATTGGGGGAGACATGCAATCCTTCTGCTCACTCCCTGCCCCACAAGTGCCTCTTGGCAGTAGCAGTTGAGAGCGTGGGGTGGGGGTCCTGCATCCCTGATGTTGTAAACAAAATCTGCCCTTTTCCCTTATGGGGTATCCAAGAGCCCATATAGAGTCCTTACGTGGGTTCCCTATTGGTAGGAGAAAATAACAGAGGCCAACCAGAGAATATTGAGAAGCAAAGCAGCTAGTAAGCCTGATCTTTATTGATCTGTTGCAACAGGGTGCTCCCCTCACTCACACAGGAGGGAGGAGGAACCCAGAACAATGGCGCCCAAGGCCTTATAAAGACTTTTGAAATTGCCACCCTGTAGATCAAGACCACCCCCAGAAACATCATACATACATCATAGAAGGCATGTAACCCAAGACCACCCCCCACAAACATCATACCTACATCAGAGAAAGGGCGGTCTACAACAGAAATCTGAGTGCGTTGTTTATCTCCTGTCTGCCAGGTTATCTGATAATGCCTTATCTGATTGCCTTTCCTGGTAGTCTGCCCATTCCTTTGAAATGGCGATTACCCAATTCCTGAGACAATGGGAAGGTTTTTTTCCACCTCCTCCCTCTTTGCAGAAAAACATTTGGTCAGCTTGGAAGTCAAAATGGTTTCAGGTCGGTCTTCCTGTGCTGATCTATGTACGTGCTTGGTTGGTACATTTATGAACATTAATTATATATATAAAAAAGGTAAAGGGACCCCTGACCATTAGGTCCAGTCGTGACCGACTCTGGGGTTGCGGCCCTCATCTCGCTTTATTGGCCGAGGGAGCCGGCGTACAGCTTCTGGGTCATATAAATATAAGACCTTAAATTTTATTATTACACTGATGACATCACAGGCCCTCTTGAACTGACAGCAATGGACCTTGGGTTAGGGTGGCTTACCTGACCTCCCAGCGGTGGACTCACCTCCCCACTGTCTGTGTGTGGGGGGGGGAGGCTCCTGCTGGTGAGCTTGCACAGGAATGACCCCCCCCCCATTGCCTTGCCCCTTCCACTCTCCCTCCCAGTATACAGCAGCAACTCTATTGCCAGGAGGTCAGGTCCGTACCTCCCCCTGACTCCTCCACGCACTACCTTTTGGACCCCTTTTCCTCCATTCAGTGACATTTATAAAAGACTGTTGCATCAATTAAAAAGCAGTTAGGTCAAGTGCTTCTGTGCTGCACCAACAAGCCTGTGCACTCCTGGTGCCATAATTGTTGGGATGCATCCAAGGAAACGGGGGCAATTGGCTGGCCCCCAGCTGGCTCCAGCCCACCGGCCAGTAGCCGGGCGATCTCCAGTCCTTGGATCAGCGTGTAACTGCGACTCGAGCTTCAGAAACCTTCAGAAGCTGAGCACGCAAGCAGTAAAAGAACTCTTCGCAACAGAAAGGCAGATAGAGGCTGTGTGAAGCGTGTTTACAGGCATTTTATTCAGCATCAGGACAAAGTGAAAAACATGTCTTCTCCCCTTTGTGTCCAAGCAAGCAGCATAAGCAAAAGCTAAGCACAAACGGAAGTTCCCAGCAAGCTGTGCTGGAATGTAAACAGACATGTGACATACAACAAGTCCACACATCTGATAAGGTGGAACGGAATAGCGTAACATCCTCCCCCTTTCCGTGTAACGTGTATCACCTGTGGTTCAACCCAATTGCAGCCGCTGTATATAAACCTCAAGTTGTTCTTCGTTAACAACCTTAGACAACAGATCTGCAGGAATTTCGTTTCCTGGCATGTAGGACACCTGAATGAGTCCTTACTGAATACATTCTCTTGCACGATGTAACTTAATCTGCAAGTATTTGGTTATAATGTCCTGCCATCTTCTGCTTTTCAAATAATTGCATCTGTTTGCTTTTCAACTAATTATTTCGGAGGCCATGCCTCTCTGGGCACGCTGAAGCATGCGCAGAGTGCTTTGCAGCCACAACCGCCTGCCTGCTAGCCTCCAGATGCAGGCCTCCCCCCAGGGCCCTTCCGGGAGGTGTGACCCCCTCCTGTCATGTTCCGTTTGGGAACCCTGCCACCGCCTGACTCTGCTCTTCTGCCCCCCCAGTCTAACCCCTCCATGGATGAGGGCGGCCAGCGTACGGAGGGCCGCGCTGCCTACCGGCGCCAAGTGCTCAAGGCGCTGGTGCAGCGCTACATCGACACGGCCCGGCGGGAGTTTGAGGAGAGCCGCAGGAAAGGTAAGCAGTGTTGCCTCGGAAGGGGGATCCTGATGGGGTGCCATGTCCAGAAGGGCTTGCCCACCACCCTCCCTGCAAGACTTCTGCAACCGGGTGTTGGGTTTCTGTTTTGCCACTGTGCAGTGCTTTGGAGTCACAAGACTCTGTTTACATTCCAGAGATTCCAGACTGTTGGAAGTCTCACGGGAGACGGATGTTGATATTACTGGATCCCTGTTTCTTTGTACCAGTTGCCTCTCTGCTTTCACAGAGAGAGGATGTATATTCTTTTCTGTTGGCATAGTTAGAAATAAAACTCTTAGCAATGTCGCTCATCTTTCTCGTCTTTCTGCTGCTGCTTGGATACTCTGCGTAATGGGAACGTGCCTGGGGCCTCATCAAAGGCTCAGGTCGTTAATCACCGTTGGAGGACTCGACCAGAGGAGTGGCTCGGTCGTGCACAAGTCTGACACCAGGTGCCCTCAGCTGTCTCAGCCACAGCTCCATCAGCCCCAGCCAGCTCTGATGTAGGTTCTGGGAGTCCAAACCAACTGGCGGGCATTCCCTGCTCCCTTTCTGCTTGGCTCCCATATCTCTTTCTGTGAGGCCTCTGTCTCTTCCAACCACCATTGCCCCTTATTCAAAGTCAATAAAAGAAGTTTACTCACATCAGTTCACAGTTGGATTCCTAAAGGCAGACTTAGTTACAAATATGTACATGTGGATCTACACCATATGGGGGAATAATCCCAGTGCTTCTGCTAGCTGAGAGCTGGCAGAGCAGTCCTAGCTAGAATCTGGTCGAGCGAAGAAGAAGTGAAAAAGAGGGAGGTGTGCTGCGTGACTCGTCCTTTTGTTACCTGGACAGGCCCACCTTCTATCACATGCAAAAGGAAGGATGCTCCAGCCAGGAGGAACAGGAGGTTTCCACTGGCTGGACCAAATATTCTCTTGCATGTCTTCTCTAGGAATGTTGTACTTGACTGCCTCTCACGGATCACATCCCACACTTTTTGCCCGCAGATCTGGGGAACCGCCTGACAGAGCTGAACAAGTCTGTGCTGCGCCTCCTCTCCGACATGAAGCAGCTGCGCCACACAGTGGCTGACAACGGCACGGCGGACAACCCCTTGAACGGGACCTGCGTCCTGCACAAGTACATCATGAAGGTGCGCAGCAGCTTCCAGAGCTACGACAATGGAGCAGGCGGCTCTGAGCAGGCAGCCCCCACGGACGCCGCCTTGCCCCAGGATGGGGCCGTTGCCGAAGAGGACGCAACGCCGTTGCCTCAGGAACCCTCTGAGGGACAACAGGCGGAAGCTGAGGAAGGGCCGCCCCAGGTGGAAGCTGAGGAGAGACAGCCTGGGGAGGAGGCTCAGGAGAGGCCGCTGGAGGTGGAAGCTGAGGAGAGGCCACCCCAGGTGGAAGTAGAGGTGGCAATTGAAGAGAACCCTGTAGGAGAGCCAGAGACTTGATCTGCCTTCTCTCCAAAGACAAGGGATCTGTTTCATTCTCAGCTGGGATCCGCTGTAGAGGGTGGCGTTTCCGTAGCAGCCTAGGGGGGGAGTCATGCTTGTAGAGTCTGCCCCGTTTCTGACATGTCCAAGGGGCAACGCAGTGTCCTTTCTTAAGCCAACATCCTTTGCCAAGCGAGAGAATGTGTATTTCACTTAGCTGGCGTGAGGGCTCTTTACCTGTCCTCACCCGGGACAGGTGAGGCTGCTGATCCCTTGTTTTCAAATCTGAAAGTTGACAGCTCTGAGCAGAATGGGAAGACTGTAAGAGCTACAGTGGTACCTTAGGTTACCGGTACATACGCTGCAGGTTACAGACTCCGCTAACCCAGAAGTAGTACCTCGGGTTAAGAACTTTGCTTCAGGATGAGAATAGAAATCGTGTTCCGGCGGCGCTGAGGCAGCAGGAGGCCCCATTAGTTAAAGTGGTGCTTCAGGTTAAGAACAGTTTCAGGTTAAGAACGGACCTCCGGAACGAATTAAGTACTTAACCCGAAGTACCACTGTACTTTATAAAGCCCCCCAAAAGCCGGACTCCTGCTATTGGCATTTTACCAAACCTTCAACCCACTTTGAATTCTATTCTGCTTAAGATTTGAGGTGGAGGTTAGTAAGATTCCACGAGGCCACAGTAACGGCTGCCCCCAGTATCTGGGGCCCACCTGGCCTACGAGGTGCAAACTTCTGGGTCAAGGTGGTGGTGAAATGGAGGAAGCCTACCCAGATGGGGTTAGAAGCAGCACAGTGAAGACGGGAAGCGAGGTGGCAGTTGCAAAACACCAGTCCTACTCTGGCAGTCCCTGACCGTCCTCCGCAAGCCAGCACCCGGAAAGTTGGAGAGATGCAGGGCTTTTCCCTCAGATCTTGACTGCCACAAAGTGCTTTCAGGCCTCATTGGGGCCAGAATTCCCCCAAGCAGTCACTAAGAGGAGCGCCTCCCCCCCAAAAAATTGTACTACAATAACTGCATGTTTGTGCGCAGATTGTGCAGTGTGTGTGTGTATCCAGCTTCTTTACATTAAATTTATTAATCAAGTAAATGGATGTTATTAACTAAACTTAATAAATATGCTATGGGTAATATGCACTCCTGTGGTCTGGTGTTTGTTTAGCTAATATCTTTTTTTATTAATGTGAAATCAAAAGTACAGACAAACAAAAAAAGGAAAACACGGGAGTTACAAAACAAGGAGCAGGTACAAAGACTGTATTTTCTAAATAGAGAGCATACAGTGTTGAAAAAATAAAAGCAGCAACACATCATGAAAGTCAAATTTTGCAATTTGATGAGGGAAGAAAAGTGAGGTTACAGGGAACCAGGCAGAGGGTCTTCTTGGTGGTGGCGCCTGCCCTGTGAAACTCCCTCCCACCAGATGTCAAGGAAATAGACAACTATCTGACTTTTAGAAGATATCTGAAGGGAGCCCTGTTTAGGGAAGTTTTTTAATGGCTGAAGTTTTAATGTATTTTTAATCTCCTGTTGGAAGCTGCCCAGAGTGGGCCAGATGGGCAGGGTCGTCGTCTTCTTCTTCTTCTTCTTCTTCTTCTTCTTCTTCTTCTTCTTCTTCTTCTTCTTCTTATTATTATTATTATTATTATTATTAATTTGTGGGTTATTCTTTTCTGCAAAAGCCAGAGTCCACCTATTCGTGTACTACAACAAGAGGTTTAAGTCCTGTAGTGTCTTCTTATTTTGGTCCAGAGAATATCTCACTGCTTCCAGCATCCACATAAGAAGTCCCCTAAATTGGAAAATGGCTGTTTCATCTTCCCATGAGTTCAAAAAGGCAACTCCCATCTCTTCCCAGAAGGGCGCTGCCACTGCCATCCTAAGAGAATGAGGGAGGTGCTCATGGTGAGTTCTGGCACCTCTTCTTCTAGAAAAGTAACACTGTGCATGCTAAGGTATGGAAAGGAGATTCTACTCCCCAAAATGAGATTGGCAAAATAAAATGTTAGAATATGAAGAACTAGCAAGATTAACATCAAGATTCTGAGACCATACAGACCAACTATTTAATAGAGAGTGGAATATTTGCAGAGAATATCTTAAAGAACATTGTAACAACATAAATTCTTTGGAAAGCCTGGATTGATTTCTGCATGAATTAACTATAGAATTAACATAACAGAATAATTTAGGAGAGATAAAGTTAAGTGTGCAGCTGTAAAATGAAACTTAGGAAGCACAATGGGGGGATTGGAAGTCATGTTAGAATTAGTAACCACACAATTAAACCCCTGTGTTGCAAACAATTATCAGTAATATCCAAGGCAACATGATGACTGTTAAGTTGTGGGTGAACATATCAGATGACACAGCGATTCTTCAAACAGCTCTTGTTTATTCACAGGCCAGAACAGAACTGGACTGAAGGGTTCAGTCAGCCTGCTTATATAGAGCTCCACTAGAACGCAACAGTAACCATTGTCTGTAACTATCCAATCACTGAACATCACTTTCGATCCCATATTTGCATATGTGGACCTGAACTATCTACAGTATCCCCCTGCTGGCCCAGGGTGAGAACTTCAGTACATAACAATGACCAAGTACAACAATGCAATATCAATATAAACACTTTATATAATCTATACAGAACACTGAACAGTATGAAATATATGAAATATGCACTCTCTGCAAAACCAAATAAACAGAAATCTTACAAATCTCTGAAAGTCACAAAATATGCACTCTGGATGGATACTCTTGAGAACATAAAACCAAATAAACATGAGTCTTATAAGTCTTTGTTTTGTTTTTAAAACTAATAAAGAATTAGAGAGAGAGAGGCAAGAGAAACGTGTCCTTGTTAATTCTCTTCGACCTCTTAGTGGCTTTTGACGCCAACGACCATGGCATCCTTCTGGAGCAGCCGTCAGAGTTAAGGGTGGGTGGCACCGCTTTGCGGTGCTTCTGGCCCTACTTGGATGGTCATTTCCAGAGGGTGACGCTTGCCCCCACGGAGCCTTCAGTGTGGGGTTCCTTAGGCTTCAATGTTATCCGCCATGAAACCGCTGAGCGGGGATTTTAGGAGTATGTTGCCAACAATGTGCTGTCTACTAGACCAGACCAACATTAAAAAGAGCTTTGAATTGATGTGGGAGGACCATTCCTCTGGAGATCCTCATAGTTCGAGCTACGGAGCTACAGAGTTTCTGACAGTGCAATACACCAAGTTCCAAAAGAGAACCCAGCCGGTGATTTACCTGGAAAGGAAATCACGAAAGGAGAGAATTGCGCCATCCATTCAACGCTCCATTCCCCAGCCGTCCCCCTTTCTGCCACCCCAATTGCCTTCCATGTTGGCCTGAGGCAGGAAGGAGAGAAAGAAGGGGCTGGGGGCTAGCAGGGCAGATGTGCAAAGGGAGAGCCTAGGCAGGGAGGGAGGAGGGAGCTGAGAGCAGGAACCGGCTGCGGTGACAAACAGCCCAGGCTCCTGGGGGAGCAGGGTGAGGCCTTGCTGGAGGCTGCCCATGGCGTTCATGTGGCAACCCAGCCCCCTGGGGGGTTGGCAGGTGGGCCCCGCTGCGCTCCTGCCCCTGCCAGGGAAAAACAAGAGATCCGCACAGACAGAGGGCTGGAGAGGAAACCTGGAGGAGAAGCAGGACACCTTTTTGGCCAGGCCTTCCCTGGTTTCGTTCTGCTGGAAGGAGAAGGACCTGGAGCATCCTTTGCCAGTCACACCTGCAAGGAGCTGGCACGTCTGCCCTGGGCAAGATGGCACTGGAGTTCGATGGAATCACGGTGAGTGCAGAGCAGGGACGGGGGCTCCACGATGTGATAGACAGACCGACAGACAGACCGACAGACAGATAGATAGATATGCCCTTTTGGTTTGGGTGACTTTCTCTACTGTCGGCTGCTTCTTCTCTGCTAGATTTTCTTCCCTACCTTTTTTTAAAAAAAAATAATTTTCATTAAGAATTTCAGCATAACAATTTATCAAAGACATATCATCCTCACCCTCCCTGTTTCCCCCCCCCTCCCCAAGAAAACAACACCCTCCCACCCCTGCCCAGACTTCCCTCAGCTCCTCTCTCTGGTTTTTCAGCACACATTATTCTCTGCATATTATAAAATTGTGAAGATCTTTAAATTATCTGTCTGTATGTTACTAATAATAAATTTGTGTTTGTTTATTCAAAACCTGCCAAGGAGCCCAGTTCATTTTGTTGTTTCTTTAAGTACTTTCTAAAAGGTTCCCATTCTTCTTTAAAGTCACAGTTGTCCTTATCACGGAGTTTGTGCGTCAATTTCCCTAGTTCTACACAGTCCATCAATTTCCCTTGCCACAGTTCTTTGGTAGGAATTTCCTCGTTCTTCCATCCTTCTGCTATTAAGACTCTTGCCGCCGTTGTCACGTACATGAATATGTTCTTCAGTTTCCTTGGCAGGTCTCTTCCTACAATCCCTAACAAAAATGCTTCAGGCTTTTTTTTACAAATGTTAATTGGAACATTTTCTTCAATTCATTGTATATCATTTCCCAGAATTTTTTAATTTCACTCCAATCCCACCACATGTGATAAAAATAAATCTCTGCTAGATTTTCTGAACGCTGAGAGGCGAGCTTACATTTTGCCCCAGCAAATGTCTCAGCCCTCTCCAGGGTGCAGGGTGGAAAACGAACCAGCCAGAAGGGAGGTGGGCTGCTGCTGCTGCAGTCTTCACTTGAAGGTAATCCATGGAATTATTGATAAATTTATTTGCTGGAGACTTTCAATAAAAGAGGAGGCAGCTTCCTGCCCACCTCCTGCGTCAGCCAAAGGCTCCTTCTGTTCTGAGTGAGAGTCACGGGGTCCTGCAGCCTCACTTTTTTTAGCTATCATACCTGACAGCTTCCTGCTCCCCCCTCCTTCATCTCTGCTCCTAGTCTCCACCACCATAGATGATCCCCCCTTTCAGGTGTCCCTTTTGCAGCCTGTCAGTGATTCAATACTATTTTAAAAAAATAAAAAGTCAAAGCTGAAAGTGACCATTTGGTGGGGCCTGTGCACTTGTGATGCTCTGGCTAAATTCCTCCATGCACGTGTGCAGTGTTGCTGCCCCAGAACATAAGTATTGACACCTGAACATAATACTTTAGAAGTTACTGACTATAACCACTTCCCAAAGTGCCTAGCACAGCTTCCCTGGTGGCAGATGACAAGAACTGTAGTCACACTCGAATGCACTGTTAAGAAATTACGTTATGCAAGCATTTGAGTATACAGTGGTACCTCGGGTTACATACGCTTCAGGTTACAGATTCCGCTAACCCAGAAATAGTGCTTCAGGTTAAGAACTTTGCTTCAGGATGAGAACAGAAATCATGCTCTG